TGCTTATGTAATATTTTTAATATGCTGTAATGCTTTTGAGAAATATTATTGATGAATATTTCTCACATAATTTTATTCTGTATCAATAATTTAGATAATTAATTCAAATTAAAAGTGATTTTTAAATTTTAATATCTAAAAAACATGTAATAATTTATAAGAGTTGACCACTAATAGTTTATAACCCATAATAATTTATTTGTATTTGTATGCTAATAAAATATATACTTGTAACTTTTAAATTATTTTACCTTTGGTAAACGTTGAATAGGTATTTTTTTTAAATAAATGATAATTAATGAATAACAAAATACAAATCTTACATGTAAACATTTAAATTTCGCAATAATATTTATAATGGTTTTGACTGTTTTAAGTCACTTTTGACTATAATTATAACTACAGAATTCAGATTTTCATCTCATTAATATATTCTTATTTATATTTAATATCTGAAAACTAAAATGATCAATAATATACAACAATATTAAATTTACAGCTCTGCAATTTATTTAACAGTTTTTTTACTTTTAACTAAACATTTATTTTTCACACAACAATTTTTAACTTTAAATACAAATTTTTTATGTGATTTTTTTCTACTGATTGCCTACGTGCTTACGACTTGGTTATATAATATATCTATATATTTTCAAAGCAAATTTCAAATACTTAATATTATGAAATTATACTCAATTACTCAATACATTGTATTTTGTTGTTTTATCATCTCTTGATGTATATCTATATTTCAAGACTAGTATATTTTATAACCTATGTTAGCACTTCGTACTTTATTCGATTTCCTTGGTAAGTAGATAATATATTTGATAGTATAATAATTATATTACTATTATAGTGTTCAGTATTATTTTAATGTTTAATTATTTATAATTTATCGAAACCTATATGTACTGTATAGCATAAACGCCATAAACACGTACACATAACACATAATATTTTCTCTTAATAAATAATAAATAATATTATATAAGTATAAGTAATAAGTACATATATTACACTACCACAAGACATAGACTATCTTAGTCCGTGATAAGTATAGACATCAGTCGCTCTGTTTAATTTATAACGGGATCCCTAACTTTAATAAATTGATTAATAGATTTAATTTAAATGAATTTTATTTTTAGAGTTAAATACATTATTTAACTATATTTTGATGAAATTCTACACTTTTAATAAACTTTAAATTGATTGATTTATTATGATTGTACAATAATAGTATGTACCTACTTATTTTATGATTGTATCTACGTATGTTAAAATACAGTTTCGTAAGCAATTATCTAAAAAAATAATTTTTTGTGTGTTTGATAAGATTATTAATTTAAGTTTATAAATAGATTGGAAATTGCATTAAAAAATAGTTTAAAAAAATGTATTTAACTCTAAAAATAAAATTAATTTAAACTGAATCTGCGTGTAATAAATTAAGTTATTCTTGTTATGTAATTTTATTTTTACAGAATAATTCTGTCTATTTGTAGCAAGCACGTATCCAGGATCAGTTTGGGAAGGGGGTAACATATTTTTAATACATAAACTAAAAATACATAATTATATTATACACTACAAAATATAATATAATAATGTATACAAAATATAAATAATTTAAAAAAATGGTTGAATACAATTTTAATTTATAAAACAAAGTCAACTTTATGTGACATTTTAGAAAATTTATTCCTTCAATATTTATTTGAATACCTTGATGAACTGATAATAAAGCTAAAACTGTTTGACGATTTTTACTGCAGCTATTCCTCAAATAGGTTTTTAATCATCTTAAAGTTGAAAAAGAGCATTCTGCAGACGAAGTCGACATCGAGAGTGTTGCAATTTTAGATATTAAACACCAAATAATTGGATAAATATCCTTCGACATGACGCCTAAAGTATCGATTGCAGATTTAGAAAGTTCATTATAGAGTACCGATTTTCATTTTCCCATCCACATCTTAAATTATGATTTAAAAGTTTCATAATTCGGTAAAAAACTTTTGTAAAAATCAATGCATTTTTAAAAATCATTGCTACTTGGATTTAATTCAATTAAAAAACTTGGAATCAAATTTTGTAAACCAAAAATAATGTAATTGTGTTTTATAAATCTTTCAATTAATTGACTTTTGAACTTTTGAAGTAGTCTTAAAATGGCAAAATAATTGATCTCCTATAGTACTGTTCTGGCGAATCTGCTATAATATTGTTATTTTTTAGGATAGGTAGATTGCCTAATTAATCGTGACGTTTTAACCATTTCATCTACTAAACTTAATACATTTTCGACTTCTAAAAATAATTTGTGGAATTCTTCCTCATTATTTTCACAAATTTAATTAATAACTTGCACACAGTTATTGATATATTTATAACACTCGGATAAATCTAAATTTATATGTATAAGATTTACATAATGAGGCAGTGTTATAGCAAATCATTTTCCTGTAATATAAAATGAAATTACAAACGTGCTTAAGCCGCTTGAGGTAATAGTTTTTGGAAGTTGAAATACAAGTTTTGATGTCTCTAAATTATGATGCTGTTCGAGTTTCCTTAATGTGTTTGTTTTTGCCTTATTGGTAAATATAGTTCTTTAAACCGTAACAAGCTATCGTGGCATTCAATCCAACGGGTTTCACAAATTTTTAAAAGTATTTGGTGGCATACGCATGGAATTAAGTTTTTTAAGAACTTTTTAAGAACTTCTGACCTTATTGGAGATTTTTGAAAGAATAAAGTTATTGTAGGTATAGAATGTATAGATCCAATACAATTTCTTATTTCGGGAATGTCACATAATTTACTAATGGGCAATAGCGAGGTTTAATGAATAGGCGGCGCAATGAACCTATAAGCGTGAGGTATTATATTGTATATTTTTTTTTGAACTCCATTAAATATACCACTCGTCAAAGAAGCATCATCGTAGTCTTGACCAACTAAATTTTCCTTTTATAGACCAAATTTGTCTATTTCTATATCAATCATTATTGTACGGGCTTATCCTTTTCCTTATGCATTATATAAATAGGAATAAAAGTTAAAAAATCTATAGGTCTTAATTTAAAAATGTCGGTAGAGGGGGGGTGAACACCCTAATCCCCCTGTATACGGGCCTGGTTTTTAGTAATGTAGAATGTGTTTGACGTAAAAATTTAAGATTAGGTACCCTCAAAGACCTCACATAAAATTAATTTATACAGATTTAAATATGCAGAATGACTGACGGGAATCTGAGGTATTTTAGGTTTTAATTGCAATTAGAGGGGTGGACACCGTTTACTCGACATAATCTTTCACTCGCAATTGATAAATGTTACAAATATACAATATAAGTATAAAAAACTTTAAGCGTTAAATTTAAATTTTCAGAAAAAAATAATTAAGTACTGTTTATTTCAAAAACATCAGATTCCTATAGGTCACTTACTCTATATAGATAAAGAGATCATGATACCATTGTCTTTTTAATCTTCTTTTGAGGTTGTCTGTTATAAGTGTATAAAGACTATTAATAATAAGTATTAATTATTGCCTATTAATTTAATTATAGTATAGGTTCCTACTACGAAGTACGAGTAGTACCTACAACCTACTTAACTAGTAATTAAATTAAGAAACAAGGCTTAAAATAATATTAAAAAGTTCGTAGGTAAATAATATGATTCTATCTCAATATGCAACGGTAAAAAGAAAAAAAAAACACAACAATAAGTGACAATCGTAAATTATAGACAAATATCAATAATAGTATATATTAATTGTAAATATTTTTAAAATATAAAGACCTTTTATAGATTATAACATAAGTATAATGCATAAGTACGTATGACGTAAGTACCATTATCATTATGACGTATGGGTCAACATTTTATATGTAGATAATTATTCGAATAAAAAACTAATAATTTTCTATTATAAATTTTTAAATAAAAATGATCCGATTAATTTTCAAACATAATTCTCATGCTAATATATTATCATATATATTAAATGTTTTATAATATTAGTCAATAAAAAATTACTAAATTTTTTATTATGTAATAAATCTACGTCCAACATGTATGAATATTGAATACATTATTATTTATTATTATGGTAAATAATTCGTTTTCACTGTTCTCAATAATATAATCTCATCTAGAAAACAGCTGTTCTGTAATTTTTTTTTTTTATATATATTAAGTACCTATTATTCTATTAAAAATTAAATTAAATACATTTTTTTTTTTTTTTTGTAATTATTTTATTAATTTTGCATATTGTGTTTATTTATTAAAATTAACTAATTTAATTAATATGCAATAGTAATACTTACCATTATGCCATTATGAGATCAATACACCGAAATTTAACAGATAACATGTTTGAAAGAAAAGATATTTTGAAAGCTAATTTAAAAATGTTTTAATACATATGTATTTTCTCATAAAATAATCGATAATTATTATAATAATAATGTTTTAAAATTATTCTAGTAAAATGTCATCTAAATACAATTTTATTCAAATAATGACCTACTGTATAAAGTATAATCATTATGCAATATGCATAGATATATTTTTATACAGTATTTAGTTATGGTCTATTGATTAATGAATAGTTAGTAATTAGTATAGGCAAGTGTGTTGTACACTTGTATGTAGATTATAGGTAGTGTAATCTGAAAATCTCATATAAAGGTTACCTATTTATGGTATTAATATTATACGCATATTTACAAAACGTTCATAAGTGTGTAACAACATGTTAATCGGTTATTTGTTTTGGATCAATAATTTTTGAATACAAACATTGAAATATTAATTTAACGAAATCAATATAAAATATATTTTGACCTTGAAAAATTTTAAAATACTAATATTATCGTCTCATTTTAATCTCTTCGTCTACAGTCTGTAATCATCTATTTGCTCGATGCCCAATATTGAACATAAGTACTTAAGTTGTGTGTCAACATTTTATTTCGTATAAATACTATGTTCAATGAGTAATCAATATTGATACAAACTAGACGCGCGTTGCGTTCGCTTCTCCTTTATGCGCGTCAAGTGTTAAATCAGCTGTTCGATGAAATCGAAAACGTCGGTATTCAGCATTTCAGTGTCTTTAATCATAACAACAAAACAAATTTTTGTAATCAGCGTAACGCATGAGTAATAAGCGTTATGAAGACAGACAGATCGACGATCGTTGCTTTGTTATTTTTTATTCTTCTGTCTATAAAGACATATTATTAATTTTTAATAAGTATTAAGTATTTTAGTTTTTATTACTTGATTGTCTATGCACCAATGTACCGACAAATCCGTCGCGATTCACGGATACGTGGATTATAATATCGATCAATAAATTTTTAAGTGTGTGTTCAACGTATAGAAATTCAATTAACTCTGGATAAATCATTCTATGTTTAATATTATTTTGTGTTTTTGTTCTGATTTAGTGATTGCCGTTTATATAGTTTTCTCGGGAAAAGGATGAATTACTTAGGGAAATTCATCAGTAATTTTCGGCATGTATATAATGAGATCAATCCAGCCACCTTAACTGGAGCTATTGATATTGTCGTTGTAGAACAGCCAGATGGTACATTTACTTGCTCACCATTTCATGTACGCTTTGGCAAGATCGGTGTGCTACGAAGCAGAGAGAAAATAGTAAGTATAACTTCTTTCATCAGTATAAATATTAAATGAAATAGCTACCAATTAAAGGGCAGTAGTACAAAAAAAGGTAAAGTTTAAAATAATAGAATTTTAATAAGATATTGACTGTAAAAATTAAAAGAATTTATAGTTTTTTTTCCTTATAAGTAACATTGGTGTAAATTATATTATATTTATTAAACAATGTTTCTTATTTTTCTTAACTTTATTATAACTTATTAAATTTAATTTCAAGTTACATTTAAATTTTCTTTTAAAATATTTTTAATCATAATATTGGGACAAATTGATTGAATAAATAATTTTTAGAATTTTAATGTTGGGTTTTTAACTTGGTCATCCTCGTTTACAGTTTTAATTGACTTAAGTTTTTAATTAAATGGCTTATTATTTAATTTGAACTATGAAAACATTATTGATAAAAATTTATGTGGAATTAAATGAAATAATAAATTATTACCAAGATATCTTAAATTTAAAAACAATTTGGCTACAGCATGGAGTCTATCTTTTGTTTTATATTTTTTCTCTCAATGTTTGTTTATATTTTTCATGTATTGTATATTTTTTAAAGTAAAATTTTCAAAAATAATTTATTTTAGAAATAAACATATTATTTTAAACAAATTTAACAAATATCATAATTAAATAAATTATTCATTTATTTCACAGTGTATATGATTAGACAGTAAATAGATTTATATGACATATTTTACTCGCATACACTCTAGTCACTACCAATTTGTAATTTATTATTTTATGTGTTTAATTTTAGCTATGAGATATGAATATATTGAGAGTAGCAAGACTCATTCTTGTGATTCGCTCCCTTTTCAAAGTTATTTAGTGTTTTATAAACTTTTATTTAATTGCATACTTTTCATAAAATTTCTATAAATTTTTTAGTTTGTCAAGCTTAAATCAGCTGGTAGTCATATTATATAACTTAAATACTTTGAGTTGTATCACAGTTATTTATCAGTAATTATTTTTAAACTAGTTTCTCTGTTTTGTAATCTATTGAAAACTGAACGCAAAAATAAATCATTTATATTTTACAAGTTATTAAGAATATTAATTATTTATTAAAAAATTTTTTTTTCATCTTTTATGCAATTAGACCATAATAGCGCAGTAATGAATATTGCATGTTAGATGTTAGTATTTTTGATTTTATATAAATTTTGTAAATAGCACAAAATATTGATAACTGTTGTTTAGTATAATATGTATAGCCAATATTATTTTAAGCTATTTAACAGTTATTCAACAAAATATTCCTGTTATAACTTATATTATAAAATAGGCTCTTTTAAATTATATTTTTATCTCTGTTTTTTAACCTTTTTAAAAGGTTAGCTATATATTTTCCATTATAACCATACTAATAATTAATAGTCATAAATATTGTGGATATATAATGATTTTTTTGTGTATTTATAGCTTTTCAATGACTAACCTTTGAAAATATCATTGACCCTCTCATTAGTTTTGTTTATTACTTATAATATTTTAAGTAATAAGTAGATAATTTAAGTTATTACCACGATAATACCTATTTATTTAGCTCTTAATTATTTTAATAAAATTATAAATAGAGGTGCTATTAATTATAAAAAATTTGTTGAATAGCTACATATAATTAGAGTTACACAACTGTATTGGTTTAAAATAATTTTGAATAAATATAAGTTAAAAAAATAATAATAATTTAAATAATTTGTTAACTTGCATTAATATTAAGAAATGTAATAATATGTAATATATATATTTATATTCAATAACTCAATTATTTATATAGCTTTATAGACTATAACTCTTTTATATTTATGTAAATTATATTACAAAATATAGTTTGTTCTTCATAATTTAAATCTATTTAATTAGTATTGAAATTTAGAAAATTTTCAAGTACTAAAATTTTATTTTCAATATATTTTATTTTATTGCATATAAATACATTCTAAAGTCACTCAAAATGGAAAATTACTAAACATACAATTTAGATATTTTTATATAGAATGTTGTTTTAAAAAATTATTTAGAAATATTTAGTTGTTTAATTGTTAATATTTTAAATACACTCAAAACAAATTATGCTATTTAATAAATTTAATATTGAAGATATTTACTTTCTAAGTATCAATTTTAAATATTAAAACAATGCACTTTTTAGCAATCAATTCCAGTATGATCTTAATAATAATAACTACATAATAAATTATTATAAGTAAACTATTATTTGAATGTATAAAGTGTGATCATAATTTAAGGTACTTCTAAATATCTCAGCTGGACTTGGTATTGAAGTGAATAATTTAGAGGGCCTAGAGGGTACTTAAATACACATTTATTTATGATTTTCAAATTTTTTACACTTGGTGTGCACGTGTGCAATACAACTTACATTTTTTTTATTGGAAACACTATTTTTTTTTTTTTTTTACATATTTGGATATGTTATTATTTTATTATTTATAAAACTGACCAAGTTAGAGAAGTCAATATTTGAGTTTATGCATAATTCGTGTTTAACAAAATTTTTACTTAAAACCATTGGGGAAATAATAAAATAAATCTGCAATTTTATATATTTAATAAAATATACTTAGTAATATAGGCTAACAAACCGTCTTTGATCAGAATTGTTTTGCATATAGAATAATTGATCATTGAACTCAAATTTAACACAATTATTTCAGTTACCTACTCCTTAATAATAACTAATAAAATGTACTAGACACTACTGTACAATAAACCTGTTGCTTACTTCTTCACTATTTTTATAATAATTTCTTGATATTAATTCTTGTATATTTTTAACTATTTATAGGTTGAAATTGAAATTAATGGAGAACCTGTTCAGCTTCATATGAAACTAGGAGAATCTGGAGAAGCATTTTTTGTTGAAGAAATATCAGAAGAAGATGATATTGAAACATTACCACCTCATTTAGCATGCTCGCCAATACCTGACGATGAAGAGTAAAAATTATAAATTAATAAAAATAATAATGTATTTTTAAATATTGAAATTACTAATTTGAATATTTGATTTTGTAGACGAAAAACTATAGAATATGCTATTAACTTAGAACAAGTTGTTCCTAAAACATTTTGTGCAGAAACCGTTGATGGTGCAACACAAGATTTTCAGCCATTAAAATTTAGACCAATTGAAGACTCTCCACCTCGGCCACAAATGCGGAAACGTCGGCGTAAAAAATCTGTTATCAAAAGAAAAGTTAAGGATGAAACCAAGAAACTTGGGAATACATTCGGATCTTGTGATCTTCCAGCTCTTACTTATTTAATAGATAATGACGACCGTTCTCAAGACTTATATTTGGATAATGATTTACATTTCTTTAGTGATACAGATGCATCTCCAAGTTCAAAGTAAGACTACCAATAAAGAAATATTCTAAGTTAATTCTACCTTATTAAAAAAATATTATTTTTAGTTGCGGTGAGGTAAAAAATAATTGTGCTGCTGTTCAGTCAGATACTGAATATGAACTTCAACAAAGATCCAGAGATTCAGCTGTTGAAAGTCTTATTGGCATATCTGCTATTAATAAAACAGATTTGAATAATGGCACTAGTGATCATCAATTTTGGCGTTGGGGGGAATTACCTACACCACCTGCACGTCGCAATAGTTTGGATTCTAATGACTCAAAATTAAATTTGCAAGAAGCTTCCAAAAAACAAGAAGCTGCTAATCAGAGATCAATGTTAGCAAATATGTTGGGTTTTATGAAAAAAACTAAACACATTCGTCATAACTCTTCAGAGAATGGAGGAATATATTTAGCTGATTTGTGTGCAGATCAATTAGATCCTAAGGTATTAGAATTGTATTTATATAACCAAACTCCACCAAAGCAAGAAGAAGTTAAAGTCAGTGAAGAAGCAGATGATGATGATGTGGAATCAGGAAGAGGTGCTTCATTATCCCATTCGCCTACAAGTATGGATAGAGAAGGACCAAAATCAATTGATAGTGATTTTGATGAAAAGTTCCACCAAAAGTAAGTGAATTATTTCAATTTAAATAGAACTTTTTAATTTAGACATGATTTTACAGTCCACCATATGAAGTATCAGTTTCTTTATGTGGAGAGTTAGATTCTCTGAATGGTAATGATATTATTGAAGAGAAATTCTCCAAACATCAGATTTCCTATGAAGAATTCACATCTGATTTCAATAATCTTGTGAAGAATCCTAATTTAGTGGTGCGCATAAATAAAAAGTTTTATAATTGTCAGACTGCTCTGCCTCATTTGATCTCAATAGCTGCATATCAAAAACTGTTACCTCAGGTGCCTATAGTTTTATAATTGAAGTAAAAATTATGAATAATAATAATAATAATAAATGGTTATTTATAGAATGAATATTCTGAAACTAAAGTGCAAGCAGAAAATACTAAAGGTCTTAATCGAGGTTATACATCTTGGTTCAATTGGAGTCGTGTCAGTAAAGATACTAAATCTATTACCCCAATTGGTAAATACTTAACATAATATAATTATAATTTAAAAAAAAAAAATGTTTAAAATAAAATTTAGAATATTTATGTTGAATAGATTAATCTCTTTATCTTTCATTAGAAAATATAACTACACATATATATATATAATTGTATTATACATGCTTACAAAGGCTTAAAACAGGTTTTTAGAAATCTGTTTACAACCAGTTTAGTTTCATTTTCAACATTTTAATACAGTAACTACAACTTAAGTTTTTCACCATGCAGTAGTAGTGTTAATATATAGCTGGATAAATATACCCCTGGAATGAAAGACAATTCTGATGTACAGCCACCTCTGTAGTGTGTGCGAATCTTAAAATATAAACTGTTTTGAAAGAAAACCCGTTCACCATAAACCCAAAACTGTAACCAACATTAAAAATAAACTGAAAAACCATCATAGTTAATATTAATTTAAACTAGTTACACTAAATCTAGATTATTGGCATCTAAAACTGATTTTAATAAATTAAAATTTAAAAATAAATACAATTTATTCCACTGTTCAAAAAGATAATAGTTTTTTATTTACATTTTGCAGAAGGAAATATTTTAAAAATTGATTCCAATAATTTGTCAAAGCAACTTATCAATAATAATGATATAAATGAATGTCTAAAATCAGAAATTGATGGGAAAATAGAAAATGAATTGGTACCACCTAACAATAACTACATGTAAGTTTATATTTTTAAATGTTATGCTTTTAATTTTAATTGTTATTTTATATGTAGTCAAAGACAACGGTGCTATAGTTCAACTGATTCTGAACTTGAATTGGAAACAACTAAACTGTCATTGAAGTCAAAAGATAAAAGTGATATATGTAGGAAAACTTTAAGATTAACTTCTGAACAAATTGTAAGTATTTATGAAATAATTTGTCATAACTTAGGTTTATTATTTTATTTCAAACGAAAGAAACATCAAGATAAAGTTTTAAGTAGTTTACTTGAAGAATATTTTTGTTGTAAACAACTCGTAACTAACTACTTAAAGATATTAATAAAATGTTTACAATATGACTATTCTTATTTCTAAATAAATCTATTGATTTGTGTTATTTAAACTTAAAACTAGCAATGACAATACTATTATTACTTTCTAATTAATAGTTATTATGTTCTAGGCAAAATTAAATTTAAGAGAAGGTTCTAATGAAATTGTATTTAGTGTAACAACAGCTTATCAAGGTACTAGTCATTGTAAATGTTTTTTATTTAAATGGCGATATGATGATAAAATTGTTATATCTGACATTGATGGAACCATTACTAAGTAAGTGTAAATTAATTTTCATTTTCATTTTTCATTTCTTAAAAAGTAATATAATTATTAAATTACAATAGATCTGACGTGTTGGGCCATATACTTCCAATTGTTGGTAAAGATTGGGCTCAAAGTGGTGTTGCAAAATTATTTACTAAGATAAAAGATAATGGTTATAAATTATTATATTTGTCAGCCAGAGCTATTGGTCAATCCAGAGTTACTAGGGATTATTTAAAAAGCATTAAACAGGAAGATTTATCTTTACCAGAAGGGCCTGTGCTATTAAATCCAACTAGCTTACTAAATGCATTTCATCGTGAAGTCATAGAAAAAAAACCAGAAGAATTCAAAATCTCTTGTCTCAAAGACATCCAAGCTCTATTTCCATCTGAAAATAAACCATTTTATGCTGGTTATGGAAATAAAATAAATGTTTGTTTATTTTGACTAGTTTTTTTTTTCTTCTTAAAAATAATTATTAATTCATGTTTGTATTTAGGATGTTTGGTCATATCAAGCTATTGGTATACCAATATCAAGAATATTCACTATAAATCATAGAGGAGAATTGAAACATGAATTAACTCAGACGTTTCAATCTTCGTAAGTATGATCTTATATTTTATTTTTAGCATAAATATTTGTTTCCTTATTTCTATTTATATGTCTATAATTCTTCTTGTTCAGTTATATTGGGCAGAGTTGTATTGTTAATGATCTTTTTCCGGTTTTGGCGTGCAGCGATGACGTTACAAGGCGTATTGAAGACGATTGTAACGTCATCAGTAGCAGTAGGGATACCATTAGTACCACTTCTTTTGAGTGTGAAACATTTGGTAAGGGTCTGTCGTTTTATTTGGGGTATGCATGAGATGCTAACTTTTATGCTATCAATTGTCATTTTACTAAAATTATTATTACCAGGGACCAGATTTATATGCAAATCCATATATGTATTTGGAATAAGATTTTTGAAATCTGATGAAAATTATCCCTGATTTAGATCATTCTTATTAAAATAATACTAATTGTATTTGCATATTTTAATGGTTTTACCTATTAAATGCATATTTAATGCATATTAGTAGTTTTATAGTACATATTAATATTTATAGCACATATATTTGTTTTTGTTGTATTTTCACGTTCACAGTTACATATTATCAATTAAATTACAATCAGTCGTTATTGATAAAGATAAGATGACAAACTCATATGCAATATATATATTAATAAAGAACAATTTTGGTTTTAATTTTTGATTAATGTGGGCTAATATTTTATAGATTGAAGGTAAAGAATGTTAAATGGCTGAAATGACGAAATACATTTTTACATTTTTAAAACCTTTTTATACCTTTTTTAATAATTAATTAATATTCATTTTATAATATAGTTTTAAATAATACATTTTTGATTCAGTTTTTAATGCATACTTAATAATTAATACATGCATATTTTATAGTATATTACAACATTTTTAGAAGCATATTTTGAGGATTTTTTGTGCATTTAAATCTGGTCCCTAATTATTACCAAATGACTGTCTTAATAATATGGTCCCAATAATAAATTAATCAATTTAATTAAATTGTTCTGTCATTGCTAAAAGTTACTGGTATCATTATAAGGGTATGTTGGGACTTGTTAAGATGAATTGTCATAATTCAAATATCATCAAGTATATCAACACCATTAGTATCGATGGAAGAGAAATTATTTTTTATTCATTTTAGTATTAAAACCTGAAAAAATAATCTAATCCTTAGTCTCTAAATAAGTTATCCAATCTTTGCTTATGATTAACATATATTTATTTATTTATGAGTTTAAGACTTAAAATACAAAATTACTTTTATGTACAATTATTTTATTACAATGATCAGCTTATTAAAATAATTAAATCCATTAAATATGATGAGGTAAATTAAATATCAAATATGTAAAAAAAATCTAATTACATTATTTTATAATAAATATAAAATCAAATATTTTTTTATGGTTTCTTAATGACACGTACTAAATTTTCTAGTATATTTTATTATTTTAATTTTCTTATTATATAATCTTTTAAAATCTCTATTTATAGAATGTTATTACTTTTTATACTTATTTGTTAATTGTTAACAAAAATTTTATTTATATAGTTTTCAGTATTTAACTGTTTTAATGAAATAAGATGATAGAAGTTAAAAAGTCAAAACCATATTTGGTTTCAAAATAAATCTAAAAGATTTTTCAACAATTATTATTAAATATATAATTTCTAATAGTTACTAAATTTAAACATTAACACACTAAATATATCTTTGCTAAATAATTTTTTTTTTTTTTTTAAGTCAAAGTTTTACTAAAAGAGGACAAATCAGTTTTCAAGATTTATAACAGATCTAATTATATTATTAATTTATTACATGAGAAAAATTATTTATTTTTAAATTTTGTAATTTTATAGATATATATTTACTGTAACACATATTTTATTTTTCAGATATACTTATATGAGTACAATGGTAGATGAAATGTTTCCTGTGTTACCCATGCAAGAGTTGGACTACAACCAATTTATATATTGGCGTGATCCAGTTCCAGATTTTAATTAGAGGAAATTTACCATTCCTTGAAATTATAATATTTTAAACCATATATATTTAATATTTTAAAAATAAGATTGCCTAAGTGACTTATTTTTTATTTTTTTTTTGTCTAATGTAAATTGAATTAATTTAATTAATGAATATATGTTGTAATACTCATTATAATATACTTGTATAATAAGTAAAAAAAAAGTGGGGAAAATAATGATATTTATTCATTGTTTGTGATATTTTAAGACATATACAAAAGTTGAATAGCGATAATAATATTTTTTAATGTTATTTTTTGTGATAATTATTAAATATTAAATTTGCCATTTTTATTGGATTAGAATATTTTTTTAATTTTTTGTAAAATAACCAGGCATATTTTCACCACTGTTTTGCATTTTGAAATACTCTTCATTTAACTCTTGTAAATTCCTTTCAAGACTAGCAACTTCATCAAATCGGTAGGCCTCTTTGGCTTGTTTAATGTAGTTCTTTATAATGTTCATCTGTTCTACTACAGGGTTGTCAGAGTTTATATTGGCATTGGTTACAGGACTCCAACCATCTTCAAGTCTTAATTTAATTTCCTATAAACATACAAACAATATATATGCATATAATTCAAACATTTAAATACCTTGAAGAAAATAAATGTTTTAAACGTGTTTTTAAATTACATTTTTTTGTGTATTGTGTCGTTTGGAAATCGATGGATTTATTTTAGGCTTATCTATGTTTAAATCTTGACCATTACGTAGCCGTGCCTCTGCTGCTTCACTAAACATTTATTTTAACAATAATTATTTCAATATAATTATTAATAATTTGTTTAATAGTAATAATGTAGAATATTTAATAAATAATTACTAAAAAAAATATATATTAGTGATACTTGTCCAATATGCTATCAACCATAAATATTGTATCTATAGTCTTATAGAATAATATACTTGGATATATTCTATATACTTTAACATTAAACTTTTAACGAAATCCCAAATTATACTATATTTTGACCTCTTTTTAATTTATTATAAATTCTTTATACAAAAAAAAAAAGTAAGTGTTGATTACATGTGGGTTTTCTGTGATTTATTTTTTTATTATAAGTTATTTATATCATTATATAATTCAAAAAGAAAAAATGTGCACAACTTTTTTAAAAATACATAGTTTAATACCAACTGACCAAACATGTACCAAAATTAAAAATCAAACAATTTCTGGAGGCAAGTTGAAAAGAGTTCTGAAAATAGATGAAAAAAGTGATTTAGAAGTTAATATGTTAAAAATGGCATTAAATAAAATGTTTATGGTAGATAGCATACCAAACCATGAAATGTGTAGTAGATAGCATATTGAACAAGTACTATATTAATTGAATTATAAATTGTTTCGATCGATAAAATTTTTTACCGTTTTTTCTGAGCAATTTCTTCAATTTCCTTCATTGAAGGAAGAGCAGGTATTGCAAGTATAGTTGATTGAACACATTGTATCATAGCCAATCTTATATTTTTTGTAGTTACCTTTGATGAATTTGAATAGTTTTCCAGTTTCATTATTCGATTACTACTCAACAAATAAATGAAGATTAATAAAATTAAATAAAAGTTTTGAATATAACTGTATTTTAAAGTAATTACCTAAGAGCATCTATTGTCTCAGCAAGTCTTACAATATCATTTCTAATTTTGTTGGCTTCTGTTAAGTATGAGGATTCTCCTTCTCTATAATAATAATAATAAAAAAAAAAAAATGAACATGATTCATTTAATATAAAAAATTAATAGTAAAATTTACTTTAATAAATTATATGTTTGGTTGAATTTAATTAACAAATCATTTTCAATTTTACTACGACATTCTATGATTTTATCATAATAATCACACATGAGAGGCTTTTGGTCACGGTATTTGACTTGCTCACGGTTTTCTAACACCTGTCCGCAATGAGCACATAATCGAAAACTTGGTGAACTATGTGTTATAGGAGTCAATTGGTTTTTACCAGTTTCATTTATTGTTTCATCTATTGAAACAAAAAATATTTTAAAAATGATAGATAATATAAACTAAATAAATTTGTTTCATTAATTATCTATTATTAGTTAATCATTCTTTTTTTTAAAATACCAACATGCTTTTGACAGTGGTAAAAAACAGCTACATTCATGACATACAATAGAGCCACATAATCTGCAATGATGTTGTCGTCTTGTAATGTTAAATGACTTTGTACAATCTGGACATCGTGTTACGTCTGTACCATCTAACCAATGTACTATGGTTTGTTCATGAACTACATTATAAACCAATCACAAATAAATATTTATTATTTAATTAAACATTTTATAAAAAATATACTTTTTCGTTTATTAGTATCTTGAGGTAAATTACAAAGTAACTTTTCAAGTCGTACAACTGTTTTATTTGTTTCCATTACAAAGTGCTCAACCCACTTATTACGACAATGTTTAAAATACTGAAGATGAGACTTGACTTCTCCTGTTAATTAAATATAGCATCAATAACTATAACAAAAATGGGCTAATGAGTTAATAAAACCAACCTATTTCTTGTTGTTCCCATACATAATGGTACTCTTCTTTTTTCCCTATATCATTCTTTAAAATCTTTTCTTTAGCTTTACCAAATAAATCTGTTTAAAAAATATATCACTAAACAATAAAAATTTAAATTATTACACAGTTGTATATAAGAATGATCATACCTTTAAAAGATTTAACTAGATCTTGATCTTCGCTATGAGCTTCTTGAAAATGTAAAAATAATTTAAGATCTAAGCCAAAGTCAACTTTGCATATAGGACACAAGAATCCTTCTAGAACTATATTTTCTTCACCGGCTTCAGTCATGATGAGTATTTCGTAAATATTAATAAATAATAACGAACAAATACATTTAAGTCTTATTAATTATTTTCACGTTATTAATATTTAATATTTTAATATTTTTTATCAATATTTAACAAATGTAATGAACGTATTATTTTGTGTTGATAAAATATATTGATAACATAATGGGAGTAATTCTTAAGAGGACGTCGCTCCCACATTTGTTGTCTCCGTCTTACATACGTGCGACATGGTAAATTAAAAATTTTCGTTCTCCAGTTCATTCAATAGTATATTATTAGTTTTGATATTAGAGTAAATTGACCTATTATTAAACTTCTAGCCTTTAAGTAAGAACTTATTTATCCGTGTTCTCTCGTTGTTTTTCTACGATATTTTAATTTTTAAGTGAATTATGAGCATTTTCAAATATTTATATTTTTCATACTTATAACTTACTTAAAAATTAAAATATTGTAAAAAAACAAGAGAACACAGATAAATATGTTCTTATCTAAGAGTTAGATAATAAGTCAATTCATTCTAATATCAAAACTAAAGTCTAAAAGCACTATTGAAACTGGTGAACGAAAATTTACCATGTTCAATGTTGTACACTTGTACGGCTGTATGACGGAGTAGACACATACGGGTGCAACGTGCTCTTAAATCATAATTTTATCATATAATATATTTTATTAACTAAGAAATAATTGAAAATAATATAACTTTTTAAGATATTTTACACATGAAGGATAAAAATTATTTTTTATTATTCAATGTTTATGTGATTCTACTTTTTGTGGGATAGATGTATTTAAATAATTACATCTTAATCGTGGTTTTACCTCTGATAGACGCCATATCAGATTCGCCAATTCGTCTTTAATTTCTTACCAAGGACTTAATATATTAAAGATATAAAAACACACGTCTTATGTTGCTGTAAAATACTGAACAATAAATTAAAAATTTTTAATAAGGTGTTGCCATTTAACATACATAAGTATATCAAATAAGCTCATTATTGATTCTTAAAAATAATATTATTTTCTAATTGTTAAAAAATATATCTTTTATTGTTTTAACGATAACATGTAAACATAGAAAATAACTGTCTATATAGTTTCTATTGTATCATAAAACATTTAGTGATGAACTAGAGTGTTTGAGCAATTTAGCACTCAATAATAACAAAACATTTATTTAAAATGTAATAATTTATTTTCAATATAGTCATTTCATATTTTTCATTCTTATTTGAATATTTTAATTATAAGTTTTGAACAAACAAATCAATTTAATTAAAATCTTAGGTTACTAAAAACTTACTTGTTTATTCAAAAATGATCTAAGTATAAAATCATCAGGTAATTGGATTCTAATTGAATGAACAATATTAGGAATAACTAGAATACAGGAAGTTATTTGGCTATTTATAGAAACAGCAGAACCAAGCTAGTCAATTAAGTATAAATTTTGGTTAAATTAAAATACTTTACATAACATCAGATAAATTTATATTTTATGTATGCATATTTATTATTTCATCAATTTTAACTCATAAAGGTTACAACTTCAAAAAGTCCAAACCTTAATATTAGTTAATAATATAATTATAAAATTAATTTACACATATTATACTTATAATTTGCAAGTGTCTTAAAATAAACATACAAAAAAAAATTGCTAAGTCAATATATGTTTACAGTTTTTCTAATATTTTATTGGTTTGTGAAGACCCAAAAGAGCTGCATCTGCTTCAAGTAGAGTTAAATCTTTTTCAGAACCCAAAAACCTGGTAGCTAATTCTAAGGATTTGATTCTTAATTTTACTTGTGATCCTCGTACAAAAGAACTATAAACATACAAGAATTAAACTAAATAGTTTTTTCTTAATTTCATTGAACACAAGTCACAACATATTCCATTTTTAAAATCATATTAAAAAATCAATGATGAATGATGGTACAATAAAGTATTTCATGAAGCTATTGCCCCACAATTAATTAGGTAATGGCACTCCTTACGCTATTAAATCATTAATGGTAAATTATAAGTTAACTAAATAATAGTTAGAAATGCTACTAATTAGTTATTGAATTTACAATTTAAATAATGTTATTCATTTATTAATTGTATTTCACTTAAATTTTTAAAAAATTATAACACATTCAATTTGAGCAAAATAGCAAATATAATATAATGAACAAAATTTAAATATCTATTTTTATAAGTTAAAATATATAATTATATCATAATGATAAAAACTTTTTAGTATTCCAGTATTTAAATTTCCACAGCAACCAAAAAGTTTTTTTTAGTTCTAAAATAAAATATTAATTTTTGAATCCAATATGATTGACAAAACCTAGGTGGTGGTCAATAGACTAAATGTAAAATATTAATCACTAACTCATATGACAATAAATGTTCATACCATCACTTTAATCAATAATATTTAAAATACTTACTCTGCATTTTTAACTGGTCTTGTACAAACACAATGGAATTTCCATCCAAAATCAATATACAAATCATTATCAACAATATGAAATATAGTTCCAATCACTTGTTTACCCTCAGGATCACCAAGCTATAAAAGAAATTTTTGTAAAAAAATAAATTAACTTATAAAGGTTTAAAATTTACATTTATAAAATTTGAATTTCTCAACAACATTTCAAAGTCTTGGTCTTCTTCAATAACTTGTTTGTTTTCTTTGGTTTTTTCATAAAACTCAGCAAAAGCACTATGCTTATAAGTTCCAGTGTTGTCTTTTTGATCACTATGACTATGACGTTGAATTAAAAATTCTTTTGATGATACTCTTAATTTTGTTGAAATTATTTTTGATAATGGAATATTATTTATGTTTCGACAAAATATTCGGCATGCACTTGCCATAGTAATAATTAAATTAATTAGAATAGTTAAATGTATTCTTTGAAAGTATAATTGTAGAGAAATATTGTATTAATAATTACATATAATGAAAATTTAAAAAATATAATATCTTAAATTATTACGTAAAAAAAAAATAATTGAGTAGAAGATGACAATAATTTCAGATTAATAAACTTCAATTTTCAATCCGTACTGGCATGGAAATTGTAATTTAGTCATGGATCATAGTGTGCTGTATCTTGATTCTTGATTCTATAATATTATAAAATCTTGAAATACCGAAATTCATTGATAAGCACATCTCCGAAAGAGTGATAAGCACTTGTCCGAAAAATAATAAGGACTAGAAAAAATGATAAGTACTCAAAATTAAAAAAGTACTACCAACTTTAAACGTGTTGCAATCCTGTTCAGTATCTCATTTATCATTTGTATTATTGTTACCGATATTATGATGTTTATAAAACAATGTATATAATTTTATAGGTCTAAGGTTTATACCATATTCTTAACATTTTTTAATATTTTAATAACACGATAAGTTATTTCAAAACAATTTAAACATTTTAAACATTTAAACTTAAGCTTTAAAGTAAAACCACATTGAGACTTCTACATTTCTTCTCTCTTGTTCAGTGTTCTATAATTTTTTTTACAATTTTCAGTTGTAAAACTGCATTTCTATAGTGTATTAATGTTACAATTTCTATAGGTAGTAAGCACTTTATTTTAACATCAATACAATTTCAACAATATCATATTTCAAATCAAAAAATATATGTAATGAACTGTCAAAATGGGTATTACAACAAAATAAATATAATAAGAAACAATAAGAAATGATGAGAGTTGACTAACTGCTTATTTTTTTGATTATTTAACAATCATTATGAAAGTGGTAAGATAAAAACATTGACCAACATTAATTTTTAATAAAAAGCAAATAAAATATTTACAATTTATATGTATTTATAATAATTTATAATTTTTTAAATATTTAGTATTGTTTAAGCGAAGATCCCAACAAACCATGTTTTGTTATAAAGTTAAAATCAGTTACAATAATGTTGGACTGTGGTCTATCAGCACACAGCGTTTTGAATTTTTTACCTTTATATCCAATACCAGATTGGAAGCCAAATAAAGCAGCAGCTTGGATACCTAAAAACTTCTCTGACCCACAAATTGAAGGGGTATACTATATTTTAACTATTGATTAGATTATTTATAAATTACATGTTATGATTGTATTAAATAGGAACTTAATGAATGTATGACAAATCAAGTACTTGTAAATTCTGCACCTGAGTTCATGACCCCACTAACTAAGTTAGTTGACTTTGCTGATATTGATGTCATATTGGTATCCAATTATATGACTATGTTGGCTTTACCTTTTATTACAGAAAATACCGGCTTTAAAGGGGTTGTGTACATGACTGAACCGACTTTGCATATAGGAAAGTAAGAAATTCAAATTTTTTAAGTAATTATCTATTAAGTTATTATGTAATATTTAAATTAATTTTTAGATTATTTCTTGAAGAACTAGTAGATTTTGTTGAACAGTCACCAAAACCTAATGTTGCTAAATATTGGAAAGAAATCTTGCATTTACTACCACCCCCATTATGTAATAGTTTTAAACCTCATACATGGAAACAATTGTACAGCCTTGCCCAAGTTAGTTCAAGTTTAACACGTGTGCAGATGATCAGTTATGATCAAAAAATTGTATGTATTATAATTTATTTTTTACATCAGTTACTTAATTATACATTTTGCCTTAGGAAATCACAGGTGCATTGACTGTAACAGCTGTTAGTTCTGGTTATTGCTTGGGTAGCAGTAATTGGGTGATATATTTGGAAAGTAAAAAATTAGTTTATGTCAGTAATACTTCAACATTAACAACACATCCAAGGTATTGTACTTTTTTATAAATCTCAAAAACTAAAAAAGATTACATTTAATTCAATGTTTGTTTTATAATCAAGACCCATGGATCAAGTTAACTTAAAAAATGCTGATCTAATGCTGTTAAGTAGCTTAACGCAAGCACCTGCCGCTAATCCAGATTCAATGCTAGGGGAACTATGTTTATCGGTTGCTGTTACATTGCGAAATAATGGTTCAGTACTTATTCCATGTTATCCTTCAGGTGTTGTTTATGATTTATTTGAATGTTTATCATCTCACTTGGACAGTACAGCTTTAGGTCAAATTCCTATGTATTTTATTTCTCCAGTGGCTCATAGTTCTTTAGAATATTCAAATATTCTTGCGGAATGGTCAGTAAACATATTATGTTTTAATATTAAATCTAATAAATATTTTTTCAACTATTAGGTTGTCTCAATCAAAACAAAATAAAGTATACTTTCCAGAAGAGCCATTTCCACACGCACAATTAGTAAAATCTGGGCGTTTAAAGCATTTTAAACATGTCTATACAGATGATTTATGGAATGATTTAAGACAAGTAAATATAAATATATTGTTTCAACTTAGGTTAAAAAATTATAATTTTATTTTAATATTTTTTTTAAGCCTTGTGTGGTATTTTGCGGTCATCCTAGTTTGCGATTTGGTGATGTAGTCCATTTTGTGGAATATTGGGGTACAAATCCTCAGAACACAATTATATTCACAGGTAAATCAATTTCTTGTTAAACTAATAATTAAGTTTGATATTCTAGTAAAAATATTAATTGGAAATTCTTCAAAAATCATTAATTTTTTACTAGTTAGAAATTAAGTTCTTGATTGTAAAATGTTGAATACATATTCTTTTGTTTATGGTTTTAATAATCTAATATTGGCTTAACTGTATAATAATTTTATTTATTTTTTAATCTTACTAATTAGATATTTAACTATAGAAATTACAAATTTCAAGTTATTTTCAATTAAAAAAAAAAAAAATTAATGTTTCTATTTCTATATCGAAGCAATTGTAAATTATATCAATATTTGTATATTTATCTTATTTTATTGAATTTTTGTAATATATAACACGTCCAATTATTAATTTTAGAACCAGAGTTTCCATATTTAGAAGCTTTAGCTCCGTTTCAACCACTTTCTATGAAAGCTATGCACTGTCCTATTGATACAAGTATGAATTTTACCCAAGCTAATAAAATGATTAAAGATCTTAAACCAGCTGTGTTAATTCTTCCTGAGCGTTATGCCATTCCACCAGCTGGATTTGGTCACAAAAATGAATTTGTTATTGACCAAGTAAATAAAAAATTAAGTTATTAACAAAACATTTTAAATACAATTAAATTATTCATATTATTATTATTATTTTAGATTGATAGGAAAGTACTAACTATAAAAAGAGGTGAAGTTATTTCAGAGAAACTTGATATAAAAACAGTCAATGTACCATTTACAACAGAAATGGTAGTGAGTGTAACATTAAACGAATTACAATCTGGACTAAAAGCATCAAAATTTACAGCTGTTTTAGATACTAAAGATAATAAGTATAAATTGGATGTAAGTTTTATATTTAAATTTAATTATTCTATTCTATTGTAATTGTTTTAAACATTTTTAGATTTTGAGAGATGATTTATTAACAAATAAGACAACTGAACCTTATTTACTAGAAACATTGTTTAAAAAAACTTATGAATGGGGACAACTGGATATTGATAGATTTTTACGTGCACTGACAAATGAAGGTGTGAGTGATCCTAAAATTGAACACAATGCACATGGATATACTATACATCTTGTAAGATCTATTTTTAAAATTTTGGATTCTAAGTAGAGTGGTTATTTTTTACATTAATTACTAAGATTTTAATTTACTTGCTTTTAGAAATCAGAAGACACGTTAATCCAAGTGGACGATAAGTCTACTCATATATTTTGTGAAAAGATGGATAAGAACTGGAGACTTAAACTTAGAAGTATAGTAATGGAATGCCTTAATTCTTTTTAAATACATTTATTGTAAAATTAATATACACATTTAAAAGACTGTTATTTACATTAATTCTTATAATTGTTGTTGAAAAACAGTATACCATGTTTATTAAGCAAATAATAACTAAAACTAATTGGATACCAATTCAATTTGTTTATATTTTTTTCGAAAATTTGATACCGGATCCTTAAATAATATTGGATCAAATCTTACACTTGATTGAAGCAATGGCATATAACCAAAAAGCACTACAAACGTGTTTAAACAAGTTTGTCTTTGCATAAAGTGATCTGGATCATTCCAAGGTGATCTATGGAGTTATATAAACATAAATTAATTATATAAATTATTAATAAATTAGTGTAATATTTACTTTGGCATGCCATTGTTAGTTTGCTCTTTATAATGTTTTCTTTGTGACACTTTAATCGGTGGACGACGAGTTACATGACTGACTAAAAAGTTCATAAGTATGTCTTCACAATTGTGAGACTGTTCAACCGTTTTGATTAATAAAGGACTCAACCATTTAGTATATAGAGTGTTGTAGTATTGATGATAAAAAGCAGCACCAGTAAGAATTATTGAATATTCATTTGTCCATTTTGAGGTATACAGCCAAGAGTCCTGTTGATTTTGAGGTGATTATTTTTGATACTGAATGTGTATTATGTAATTACTAATTACATATGTTTTTTAAATTTTTATCAAATAAAGAAATTCTAATTTAAATAAAATTAAAGAACACATTTTTTAGATTCTAGGCAAAGTGATGCATGTATTGATTTTACAACATGTGTATGTTTTGTGTGTGTGTGTGTACAGTTAGTAATCAAAAAAATACTTTGATTTTCAACTTTAAGAATGGTTTCTGTTAAATGATAATAAATTGATTTTATAAGTTATATATCAAAATAAATATTGTGAAGTAAACTGACATATCATCTATGCTTAGAATAATTTTTTGTATCCAATGACATATCCTCAAATTTAAATTTATCACCCACTTACCAACTTTTTTATTTTTAACAACAGTTATTTAAAAAAATTGAAATTTGATTGAAGATTGAAATTTAAAAAAAAAAATGTTCAGAGGTATTTTATTGGAGTTTAAAGTTTTAAATATACTGTAACATAATATTCTTAAATAAACTTCAATATGCACATAAAAACACCAAAATAAGCAAAAATAGTACTAAAAATTGGTAAATATACAAAAAAAAAAAAATAAATATTTTAAAATGCATAAATTTTAGACTTTTTTTAAAGAATATAATAAATACATTTAAGAAATATAAGTATTCGGTTCAACTGTAGACCATAAATATTAATTTGATAATTGTAATTTAATACGTCTAATAAATATTTGAAATAACTAAATTATTAGAAATTGAATAAATAGTTCAATGTCAGCTATAGCAACAACCGATTACATACCTACTATTTAAAAATCAAAATACATGTTTATGTCCACATATTTATATATTATTGGAGTTATATTGTTTATTTTTTTTATTAGTACTTGAAAGGACACTACACATATACGTGTTGTTTAGGTCTTACACACATCAAACATGACAAATTTGTGTTTAGTAGAACCCATCATATGTTGTAAACTTTAATATTAGAGTTAATTTACCTATTATCAGAAAATTATCAGTGTCATAGTGTTGACATTTTAATTTTTAAGCTAGATATGAACATAATTAAATTATAATATTTTAAATACTCACATCTTGCAAATTCACTCTAATATTGAACCTAACAATGAATAATGGGTTCTATTAAATGCAAATTTACCATATCGTATGTATGTAAGATGGAGAAAATTCATGCCAGTGTGATGTCTTTTTAAAATCTAAATTAGCAAAACAGCACAAGAAACCAAAAATATGCATAAATTAATAAAATTAAATTTCTTACACATCAGAAAATATGAATTTTCTAAAACTTCTAAGCCTTGATTATTACATATCAGTAAGTAAAAATTATTACAATACCTTGCTATTATCCCAGTAATGTGATCTAGCTGGAAATCCAACTATTCTATCAGGAAACGATTGCCAGACATGAAATGCAAAATCGATTTCATCAGTCGTTAAAACTACATCATCGTCTAATGATAATACAGCTTCAGTCTTAATAAAAGGTAATGGTTCAAATCTCCTACAGCCATTTCCAGATGATACTAATATTTGTATACCAGCAATATTTTGATATCCACTTTTACCATTGTTTTCAGCGCATGAATTTATTATTATCTAAAACAAAAATGACATAATTTAGTTCTGTTAATGTTATGTATTTCTATATTAAATTACTTGAGTTAAGTATTTGCTAGCAGCTATGTTACGAATTAATCGATACAGTGGTGAGTTTAGACTGTTGTGTTGTGAAAATATTACTACAGTAAAATTAGGACTGGGTTGTTTACCGAGTAGATGATAATTAAATGGTAAATTAAAATTAAGATATTCAGTATATGAATGTTGTGAGACAAGAGCTCCTGGAGATGTGTTCCAAACTATACCATCCCGTGATTGGAATTTAGGTAAACGTTCTTTAATTATCTAAAAATTATTCAGATTAATTAATTCAAATAGTCATCACAATTTAAAAATAACTACCTCAAATGTAGTAAAAACAATTTTTTCAATTGTGTTAAAATATTGTTCCCATAGAATTTGTGTTTGTTGTCTTAAAGCAAAAAGTTTAGTTTCTGATATTGAATGAATCACTTCTGGTACTTGAAACAGCAATCTTTCATCAGCCCATATCACAGCTTTATTCCAGTCTATCACTTCATCAAAAGGTAGAGCCCAATTATTGGACAGCAAAACAGGGATACATCCAGCCTGTAAAGCTTCCAGAAATCTATAGGATCCTAATCGACGACCTCTAGGGACTAGACAAAATGTTGAATTTTTAAGTAGAGAACCATAATCATATCTATAAAAAAAAAAAGAAATTTAAATTTAAAATTGTTATCCAAATTTTAAATTGCATTTACTTTTCATATAAAGTGTTATCAACATCACATCTTTCATCCTGAGCATCTTTCCAGTTTTTGCCATGTTTACATGTTGTTACTACAATTGTGTCCTTTCCATTATGTAAGTGAAAAATAGAATTTCTAGTTTCAGACCCAATGCCAAGAACATAACGCTTACCTTTGAATGCCAACTTATAGTTTTTAGTAATAGGATATGTATTGGAGCGAACAAAACCAGGTTCACCACCTCTTTCTGGGTGTTTCTATATAAGAGAAAAAATGTTTAATTAATAACATTAAAATTCAAAATATTGATCAAAGTAATCACTTTGTGGAATAATGGAAATGAAATATCAAAACCAGGTCTCATATTAGTGACTGACATACTAGCTTTGGCTAGAATAGCATCTCCAGTATGAAATCCAAGATCATCTTCATTATAATCTGGCCAAGAACCAGAATACAGATTAAAAATTACATGATTTCGACCACCATTCCAATGTCTGAGTCTCTGCATTTTCACAGGTATATTACGTAGGTAGTCTGGAGATAAGGGATCTCGATCTAAAGTATCAATAGCTATCACAAATACACAAGCTTTAGTGTATTCATCTGTGTAATACCTAGATTCCATAATAATGTCTAACATTTTCTGATATAAGACACTACGGGTTGAAGTAATTAATCCATTGGTTTCTAGATCAGACAATGGATACACAAATACTCGAAAATTGTTTTCACAACGTGATGAGTCAAAACATGTCTCCATTCTGAAAAAAATATTTTTGCTATGTCAAAGACAAGTTTTAACTTACAAATTGATTTAACAAATAACAAAAATTACAAGTATATTTATGGTACAAAAATATGCCTGCTGTGCTAATAACACAAAGGATTATATGTTTTCTTAAAAATAAACTTACTTTTAATCAATAAAACTTAAAAATTGAGAAATATTTTTTTTAAAGATTTTTAATATGTATAAAAATAAATGTAAGCATGGCATAAAAAATTCTTAATTTTTTTTTTGTCTAACATAAGCAGTTCATTCTAAAAATGAAAATGTAGCTCGGAATAAAGTTAATTTTTTCTAATAATAGTAATCATAAATAAACCTGCAGAGCTTGTTGGTTTTTCTATGTGATTTGTGGTATGGTATTTGTTGTCTAGCTTCATAGGTTTTCGCTGCAGGAGGACGTCCAACTTCTAAACCTTGTTCCCAGTCGTCCATGAAAGATGGTAGATTTTCCAAATCATTGACATTGTAGGATAGATGAAGCAGCGTATCTGGTTTTCTAGTAGTTTTTAGTAAATACATAACCAAGATGAAAGAGACAATGAACCAAAATAATATTATGAATCGCTTTTTTGCTTGCATAATTTTTGTTTTTATGAAATAATTATAAAAAATTCATGTTAATAATAAAGTTTTTCAATTTTTAACCATATCAAGCAAATATAAAAATATTGTGTAGTTGTAAATATACAAAAATGAAGACATGATATAGGTGATGAGAAAACCATGGTTTTAATGCAAATTTTAAAGTAAAATATAATATTTCAAAGTAACTTATAAGTTATAAACAATGTAAACACAACTATAGATGTCAGTCGTCAGATAATAATAATATAAAATAGTTAGAAAAGGCCTATGCTTAACAGTTGTCAGTTAACACCGAGTATACAGTATACAGTAGTCACTAGTCAGTAATCAACGAGGCGATTTAAGGAATATAAGTATTATTAAAATAAACTGCTAATAACTCTAGTTATACAGCATTGAACTCTACATTATGTTTATCGTATTGAGTTCAATGGCGCCAATGCGCCTTCATACTGCTGATCCTTCATCTCTTATTTGTTATAATTTGTGATAACGATAATGGTCGTTATCACGGTTAATTAAAAATACTGGAGTGTTTATTCATATTAAATGTTTGTAATTTTATAAGCTGTTTCTAATAGAGTTACAATCACTATAGCCTATAGAACAAGCATTTTAAGGTCTATGTGTTCATTGTACTTAGTAAAAAACTCTTTTTAAATGGTTATTCAGATGTTTTAAATTGAACACGAAAAATTTTAGTCATTACTCATTACTATTTAATAATTTAATATTAATTGAAAATCTTCTGCGGCCTTGATCAGTCTATATTTCTCTCATTGAATAATAGTTATCGTGTGGAGACAAATACTTAGACCATTTTAGTGTGCGACTGTTTCAGGTAAGATAAAGTATATAAATTATAAAAGATAATTTAATAATCTTTCAAAATGTTATATACTTGCTAATGCAGCAAACCATCTCTAATTATAATTTTTATTGTATACCATATACATATAGTTCACATATCAATGGAAGTCTTCGAAGAAAATCGTAAAGTTTTATTACGCACTAATGACCGTTTGACTAGTATAAGATCTATTGCTGTAGAAACTGAAGAAATTGGTACTGCAATTGTTCAAGAATTAGGAGAACAAAGACAGACACTTGATGGTACCCGCAATCGATTAGAGGACATTGACAGTTCTAGACAATCTTCTCACCGTTATGTCTCTGCTATAAATAGACATGTTTTCCAAGATAAACTTATGCTCATACTCATTATTATAATTGAGGCTTGCACTTTAGTTGGACTTGTCTACATAAAATTTATAAAAAATTAATTTTATCTAAACAATGTATAATATATTTTAATACATAACATATTTTTCTACTACAAAATCATACCATTTTAAAAATATTGTTTTTATATTGTTACTTTATAATTTACTATATTTAAAAATATATACATATTTAATTATTATATTTAATGGTTTACATAATCACTACAAACTACAACTAAACATTGCTTAGTCCAAAAAATTATTTTATAATTAAAAACAAAATATTAACATTTACTAGGTTATAATATAAATTAATTAATTCATGAAATCCTTCGATATAATAGTTTATAATTGAACAGCATCTGCAACTTTTACTAATAAACTGTCAGATAAATCATCAATTGTATGATTGGCATATTCAAAACAAATTTCATTGGGCAACTTAGTACCATTTGATCGATACTGTTCACAGTCAGGATCATAACATTTTTGATACCAATACATTTCGTTCAAATCAACTATGTACTTAACATTATTGTTTTTGTGTTGTCTTTTAACATTTCCACAATAACGGTTCTTCACAATGCTGTAAACTAATTTGTTAGCAGAAGGAAAATAATGATTTTTGAAGATTTTTCCTGGAAATACGAGATCAGATATAAACCTATCTATTCGTGGAAAAGGTGAACTTGTATAACTTGACTGACATGTACCTTGATCTTTATTATAAAATTGTGGCCAATTACTATGTATTTGAGGCATAATTTGACTTGTAATATTTGTGAAATTCAATAATACGTTATCATCACAACCAAATGTTATTAAAGATTTTAAAAATATTTGTTTGTCAAAACAATCTTCACAATGAGCTATTTCTGGAAGTTTGTACTTGTTAGTATTGCTTAGGACTAATGGAACATTTTTTTTCAATTTTGATGACTTAAATAATCTAAAATGTCTGTTTCTTGAATACACACTTTCATCACAAAATAATCCTCGTTCAACTTTTAAATTAATAAGATCTTTAGTAGTTATCCCGTTGTAAAAACATCCATTATCCTCTAAACAGTGATCTTCAGACAAAAACTTATTAATTTCACAACATATAAATCGAACAAAATGACCAGCTTGGCAATTATTAGAAAATACCAAAGATTGAAAGATTAAGTGATGACTAAATTTTTCTGCTGTTGATGAATCTAAGTCAAGAACGTCTTCTTCTTTACAATTTATATCAAACTTTTGTTTGATAAACATGATAACAATTTTGACAAAGGTTTCTAACATTTTTATACCATTCGATTCTGGATTTTCATTGCGATTAAATTCTAAATCAAAGTATAATTTGCATGGGTTATTTTCTGGTATGATCTCATAAGTGTGTCTTTCATTTTGTGGTTTACGAGAGTCATAATACCAAAACGTTTCAGGATGAGCAACCATAAAATATCGTTGACCATTACTTTGTTCATATGTAAAGGACATACAACCATTTGATTTAGTTTTTGCATATTCTAGTGCTTCTTGTTGCCTAGGAAAGTTTTTCCAGCCAATTGGAGGTCCCAGCAACCGTTTAACATTAATTAGGTGGCATGGTTCACGTCTTACCTTTTTGGATGAAGATGCTGATGGTATTAAATGGAACGAACTACGTTTAGAAGAACCATAGAACACTTTAGTAGATAGACCAGACATGACCACACAGAACTATTTTCTGATAATCATTTAACAAAACAGAATATAAAAATACTATAAGATAAATATAATAATAGCAAAAATGTAGTAAATTCGAAGGTAAATTGTAAATACTAAATACTAATTAGTAATTAGCTAGGTAATTTAGAAAATTAAATAAAAATTTAAAATAAATGTTTGGTATATTTAGAATGATTATTTACTCGCTCAAATTTTTTCATAATAAATGATATCTGATAACCGTTAAAGATTAGAAGATAAAATAATAAATATTAGATAATATATAAATCGACGTCTTCAACAACGAAAGTCATAATCACGGATATAGTGGATATAGATGTGATATAGATACACCTAAATCTGTGATCATAACTCACTTGTTTTCAATTTTAATTTAGTATCACAGATTAAATAAAACTTAATAAAAAAAATTACTTAATCTGTGTTAGTATCATCATCTGTTGGCGCATATTTTTCTTTATTATAAATAAAGATATTTAAAAACAGTATTATGTATAAATATTAAACTGATGATTTCTTTCGAAAAAAATCGTAAATTCGTAACTTAAGTTATTACTAAATTTAAACAATATTACTAACAAAAACTATCGTAATTAGTATATTATAATTCTATTTTTGGATTTTTATTTTTTTGTAGCTTACCTTAGTGGGTTTTTATATAATAATCAATCTCAATTAATAACTAAATAATTAAATTAAATAATGTGAAACAAATAACTATATCATATAAAACACCAAGTACAATTTAAATAGTATAAATATTATTACCATGAACAATGAACATATTGGCTAAGAAAAAAAAGGAAGTTTTCAAGAGCGTCGTGTTTATGTACCGTAAGAGCCTATAATAAAAAATTACCAGTTGTTAAAAAAAATTCAACGATTTATTATCATTATGTAACAAAGGCTTTATACAATTTTGCCATCATATTTTTATATATCCTTAAGAGAACGTCGCATCCGCTTGTGTTGTCTTCGTCTTGCACACGTACGACTAGTAAATACTAAATTTTCGTTCAACAATTTCATTAGCTTATAAAAAAGAAAAATGTGACTATATCAACAATTAATGAAGATTCTTAACTAAATTTTCCAACTGTTTTACTAATAAATACAAATTTCATCATACATGGGTAAATAAAAAATCAGTCTATAAAAATTGAAGATTTTAAATATGTATGAATAGCAAAAATACGTTGAAAATTGCATCATCTCCAGACTCATGTCAAGATGTACGTGTCTGCCAGATTTTAAAGATTTTTACCAGACACTGTCTAGAGATGTTCATCTGATAGAACCTCCCGGCTCCCACCATAATTTTTAAAACTATAAATAAAAGATTTTATTTATTAATCATGTGAAATATAAAATTTTGGTCTCTATTATAAATGCTAACATGCACAAAAAAAATTAATTTCTTTGCAGTCTACACTTATTCATTTTTGATTAACAGGAAGCTATACAAAGTTAGACAATTTGGGAATAGAAAGAAAGTAAGTATAAATCTAAAATGGAAATAAATTGAAAAATTTTAAAAATAAAAATATTTGCTTAGAAAATATAAAATAATATAATTAATGTGGTGAAACAATTTTTAAATGAAATAATATTAAATATATTATCAAAATAGTATGTAGTTTTTATAATAAGATATATCCAATACTTTTACGTGTTTCCCTATGAATTAACAACTCAAGTCATAGTAAATATAAATTAGCTATTCAAAAAAAATATATTACAAATATTTTGTTCTTTTTCTTTAGATTATTTTTAATTTGGTTTTTTGCCTAAAACCATTTTTATTGTTCCAAAGTAATTTAAAATTAACACATTTTTTAATTTTAGCCTGTGACCCTATGGTTTAGGACAATATAATACTTATTATATTTATTTTAAGTAACTATCAATAATTGATTCTTAATAAATATGACATGGTAGATAATGGGGGTAGTTTCAAGTTAATTTATTCTACAACAGTAATACTTTATGTAGTTTGTGAAATGGGTTTAGGTATTCTAATAGATTTGATCTCATTTATACGACTTATTCATACTTATGTATTAATCTAGTTAATAAATATAATCAATCTTAGAAGTACATTCTAAAATCTAAATTAAAATATTGGGTGCAAGTATAAATTGTGTATCAAATTTGGAGAAACTTGAATTTAATTCAATAATCTAGTAAGTAATAAATAGGACTTGTTAAATAAAAAAATGTTTTAATTAAACAGACATACAGTTAATTATATGTGATTTCTAGGAAGTTCAAACTTATAATAACAAAATTTGGTTGTTATTTATGTATGATAAATTCATGATTAAAGTAATAGGATAAATAAATTAGGTAGTACAGTCAAGTTATTTAATATTGTATTAATTAGGCATCTTTATTTATGTTGATTTGTAAAAAAAATAAATATATATATAGATGTGTATGTATTATAGGTATAACATCAGATAATTAGTTTCTACACATTATATATATAGGTATATAGTTCTTATAAAACAATTGTTTTTGTCATTTTCAAATTTTATAAATATATTACTTAAGTATATTAAATCACCGACAATGAACTAAAATAAAAAAGAAAGAAATCCAGTATAAACGTACAATTATTATTAGAATTTTTTGGAAAATGAATTTACCTAAATATTTCAAAATTTCATCAATTAAATAATTACTTACAACAATATGTTTGGGAAATTTATATAATAAATATATAGATAATGATGAAAAATAATTATTCAATTTTAATTCCTCAATTTTTTTTTTCGAATAAGACAATAATATATTATATATAAATAAATACATATACATAAACAGTATTATAAAATTCGTTCATAAAACAATAAGTAAGCTTGACAGTTTTGTACAACGTTAGGTGTTACTTGTCTAACCATACTATCACTAACACAATACCAGGTACCATTTGGAGCTAAATGTGAAGGATCATCATTGCCATCGATAACTTTAGGTGGTTTGGTTTTACTGCCTTCTAAAAATGAATATCGATAGCTATCATCTTTAACTGAATCCCTGACCTAAACAAATAATATAATATATACATAATAAATACAATACATGTTAGAATAATATATGTTGGAACATAATTTTAAAATAAAATAACCATACTTTTACATATGAAAGATAATGACCACTATGCAAAAATCCATTATGTTCCACTACACCATAAAGAGAGTATAATATTCGGTTTTGACCTGGGCTTAACTTGTTCTAAATAAATAAATTAAATATTGATGTTTGTAGTATACTTAAAAATATATTTATGTTATAACTAACTTGACATTTAACAGAGCAGTAAGGAGCAATATCCAAAACCCATTGAAATGATACATCTCTTGTCATTTTACGTGTAGTTGAATAACACATTTGAAATCGTTTTAAATGCAATATTAAAATAGCTGGAGGAGAACTAATTAACATTTGTTTGGTACTCTGACGATAAATTGTCTTATCTTCATTTGTTTCTAAGAAAAATAAAAAACAAATATAATTACAATTTAATATTAATTGTAATATGATTTCTATTAAAATCTTACTTTTTTTATGTTGTTCAGTACATCGCTCACATGAAACTTTATTATTACCGGTCATTATTTCAGAGGCAGTAAATTGATTAAGACAAGTCAACACTGAGCACTCGCTATCTTTACATTTTGGCCGAGGTTGCAATGTAGCTTGTGGACATTCTTGAGAAAATTCGCCTTCTTCTTCATCCTCTAAATCTTCTTCACTTTTTGAATCATCAAATAGTCCATCACTATTGTTATCACTAACATTTGGTGTAGGATTGTTACGTTCCTAATATATAAAATATAGGTAAACAATGACAATTTTAGATAAAAATAAAAAATAAATACAGTTCAATTGAGATTTATATTTCAGTGTTTTTATTATACATAACATGTGCACTAAAAACTAATTTATATGATCAATACCTGATTCTCATTTGCACTATCTGTCCCCACATCCATGTAATCTGGACTAACATTTGCACGCATGGAATCAAGTGATGACCCTTGAGGTGAACTTGGGCTATTAACAGGACTGCCATGTAATACTGAATCCAAATCCATGGGTTTTTCAGAATCTAAGATTTGATCAGCATCCATTTGTCGGTCAGGATCAGCCAATGGAGTGTTATTCATTAATGTTGTAAGTTCTGTAATACTTAGAGAAGGACTTGTAACATTAGATGGTTGCTTTTCTGAACCATATCCAGACTCTGGATTTTCTTTGTTTTCATTCTTCCAAACAGACATTTCTACTTCATTTGTTTCAATTTCCATATTATCTTCTATGTCTGCATCATTATTCACAGCTTAAATTAATTATAAAAAAAAAAATTAATAATATTAATCACTATTTAATTTTATATGTATAATGTCTAAAATAATAATATTACCTAATGTATCTTGCATTTTATTGGTAAATTGTTTGTGCTCGTGTTTTTTTCGTCTTCCTTGTTTTAATGCTAATTTACGTTCTTTTTTGGTTTGATGCTTAGATTGATTAAAAACATCATTATCTTTTTTACGTGGAAATGATAATGGATGATTCTATTGATAAAAATTAATATCATTAATCACAATATAATTGTTATTAAAAACAGTTTAAAACCTTACCTTATCAACAGCGATTGGTAAACTTAAGTCCAGGAAACTTTCTGTAACTTCTGATTTGTAACCACAAGTTTGACATTGAACAACACTCAAAAGTTCACCTTTGAATACATGATCAGGACGTAAAAGAACACCTTGTAGTTTTTTACCAAGCTCTTTAATTTTTGCAGTTTTTTTTTCATCCACTTCACTTGGTTCAACATTCATTGATAAACCATAATGATGAACAATTGTTTTTTTATAACGCTAAAATTAAATTAATATTAATTTAAATCAATGTTAAATTTGTGTACCTAAATAATTAAATTTTTTTTAAAACAAAATTTAAATTGTTGACCTCTTTTATAAGAAATCATACATTTTTTAAACAAATAACTTATAACTAGATTTATTTTGATGTTCTACTCAAAATTATTTATAAACAAAATATGATAAATATGTCATTTAAATATTTCATAATTTAGCTACATCAGATTTGTCATTATCTATCTCATTAACAAAATGCAATAAAACAAGGCTCAAAATTATATTGTGATTTTAAGCTGAACAACTGTTAAAATGTAATATAATATATTTTAATTCTGCTAAAAATTTATAGAAACAGAAGAATTATAAATAAATATTAAATACATTGAAACATTTGACTTGATGAAAATAAAATAAAAGTAACAAAATATAAGCAATTGATTATAACATAGGAAAACCTAACTTTTGTATATGTAAATAACATAATATCATTCAAATTTACCTTCAAGTCATCATCACGCACAGAGTCCAAAAGATGACGTAAAAGTTCATGAGAATCGTGCTGACTGTAGCCAATAAACATTTTGCATTTTTTTCTTAATGAATCTAAAAGTGCACTAGGCGTAAACGTTGATTCACGTTCATTTGTTATTTCTTGTAGAGTGTTGTACAGGTTTTCAGTTAATGAACTCCATTTTTCTTGATGCACAGTCTATTCAAAAATTTAATGTATACATTTCTTAATATAAATTAAGGTAGTTTTTTTTTAATTTCAGTTAACATTTCTGATTTAATTAAATTAAAATAAAAACTAAACATGGAGGTCTCAAAACTCATCAAACTTTAAAAAATTTGAACTGATAGAAGTTCAATCTTCTTTGTTCCAAACCATTATTGGGTTAGTCACACTTGTTTTGAATTTCTGCAGGGATCTGTCTCTCATCTCTTCTTCACTTACACCAGCTATTTTTGTATCCTTCTCTACTTTATTTATACATATCTTTGGTTTTCTCCTCTTCTTTTATTCTATCTACATTCATTATTAAAATCATATACTAAATCTATTCTCCTTTATTTTTATAAAAATTGGTGCAACACGTTTATTACCTACAATAAATTTGATTTTTATTTTAACCTCCTGAAATACTTCACACATCTATCTTAGCATTTTCATTCTCTATTTTATTTTTTTATTATAAACTGCTTATTTGAACAAAAGTATTGAAGTAAAAATATTATAAAGAAATAAAAGAAAAAAATTACAAATTGCAAATGGTAATTATAATTTAAAAGCTTGCAACCAATATTTTAATTTTTAGGCAATTCAATTCAATAGAATTATATAAATGCACATGTATAAATTGTTGCCATAATTTTGTAATATTAAACCAAATTGTAAATTCAGATTTTTCTAAATAAAATTAATTATAATTGGCTACCTACCTACTAAATTGCTTAAATAACACTAGTCACAAATTAATTAATATTTCATAAGAATAAGATGTATTAATTTAGTATAGAACATAATACCTTGTTAATAAAATAATACTTACAATATCTTCATTATCTAGTTTTATGGTCATTGGTTCACCAGATTCACTTATGTCAAGTAAAAATTTTCTTAAAAATGGAGTTTGTGCAAGACATTGCAAAACTGAATTATAAAAGCATGTATTTCCTAAATTGGTTAAACCCTAAAATGAAATATAATAATTATTTTCATGAATCTCAATAATTATTAAAGAGATCAGACTTATACCAGTGTTTCCAATTATAACTATACCACTAGCACATTTTGGTTGAGAGCATTAAATGCAACACCAAACTATTTAAAAAAAATTATTTTTAGGTAAAATAAATTAAATAATGCAAAACAGAGATAAAATGTCTTCACTCAAAATTATTTTTATGATTTTGAGTAATTTTGAGTGAAATTATCCATTTTAAAAATTATAAAGAATAACACTTCTTCTAAATGTATTAAATTTATTCGAATAAATACCATCTAAGAGCAGTTTGATATCCATTTAATTGTATACTTTTTTTTAAACCAAATAATGATAGAATATAAAATAAATTTATATAATTTATATATTAAACCCTCAAAATTATTATCCTTAGTAATTTTAAAAATAGATGATTACTTAAAATCTTAAAAAACAATTTTAAATGAGTTTTATTTATGCTCTATATGGTCTGAGAAAAAACAACATTGTGGTGAAATCTTCTTAAATAACTTATATAAAATATGTAGTTATAAATTATACAAAATAATAAACTAAATGATTGCCTTGAGCTTTCACTATTTATCTTATGTGGCAGTAACTATAAAAAAATTTTTAATGGAAATATTAACAAGATTCTTCGTTAAAGAAATTTAAAATATTTACAAATAATTCATTTTTTATGACAATTTTTACTAGGTTTAACATATACTCAAAAATCGAAATAATATCCTATGTGTGTTAAATAACTGTTTGAAGACAAATTAAACATAATTAAACAATTATTTTATTCATAATTTAAAAAGGAGACCAACTAAACACTGCTATATTAATAAAACATTTGAAATTGTATCTAGAAATTAAGATAGAAACTTTATACAATTTATTAACTAGAACTAATAATTGCAAATAAAAAAATCTTAGTTTCAAATTTATAGTTTATATACTTTTATTATTTTCATTAACTTCAATATTTAATCATCTTATTTTAAAAATATGATAGATAAAAATTAAAGTATATTACAAAAATTAATTAGTTTAATCACTTAGCTCATTGAATCATAATGAAAGCCATTTAAGATTAATTAATTGACACATAAGTATGTTAGCATTTAAATTACATTGGAAGTGTTGAGTATGAAAAACTTACCCTAGGTCTTTTGTATCGTTCAACATTGTTAATACTAGTTTCAGATAGATCAAATGTTTTTTTTAAAGATGGTGCATCATTATCATCAGATTTATTTATTCCATTGCACTTTTTCGAAGAACTTTCTGTAAAAAAAAATAATAATTAAGTATTGAAAAAATGTTTAATTTTAATTATCTACTAACCTGAAATTAATTTATCATATTGTGCATCTGCTTCAGTAGAACAACCTTGAATTGGAAGATCATTCATTTTATTTTTACTTGATTGCACTTGTTTCATATGATTGATTGAATTTATTATTACTTGTAACTTTTTAGAGCTGAGTACTGATAATTCTTTTTCACAATCGTTGCATCTATATTAATAAAGAAATTAATTAAAATAAATATTTGTTATCTAAACAAATAATGAAATATCAGTGTTTAAATTTGGAATATTAACTAATAAGATCTAAATTTTAATAATTTTGTAAATGTACACGTGATATAATCAACATGCTCATTAGATTCCAACTCCAATAAATGGAGTAATGAGTATTCTTCTCTCGGCCTATCATTTAGAAGCGTCATAGAATAGATATGTGCAAAAAAGTTGCTATTTTTAATCTTTGAAATTACAGCAAATCGACACACATATAAATAGTCAGACAAAATAGAATGCTAATTGAATATAACATTAATGATGCAAAAATTGTACTATTCAAAAAAAATTCTGATATTTTATTTATTTATAACTCTATTTTTATTACAATTTAAGATTATTATTATAACTATCAACCCACCATCCTAGCCTCTAAAATAATTTCTTCCAAATTGATTTACAAAGCAATAAAATAAAATTGCTAAAAAAATATATATAAGGTACCTATGTGTCAACATTTATCCCATTTCTAATTTCTATCATCTTAAATTTATAGTACTAACGATAATAGTTTTAGGGTGACACATTTTTTGTTAATTTTATCAGTAGCCAATGGCTAATCAGTATATTTTAAATTAAAGTTTTTACAAACATAAAAATTAGTAGGCAGTATGTCCTGGAATGGTTAACAGCAAAATACTGTTGCCACTCAACACATTCCTTAAGCATAGCTTAAATAGCTGTATCTGTATTTAAAAAAAAAATCAATGATAAAACTAATAAATACATTCAAATAATAAAAATTGTGTTATATATTACTATTTTATTATATAATGTATAAGAGATAAATAACAAATAATTATAGTATAATACAGTTTTTCTAAGCTTAATTATTCAAATTTCTGAACAGTAATTCTAAGCACTTATTTTGAAATTACTATCTTCCACTTAACTTTTTAATTTAAGCACAGACAATTTTTATAATTTCAAATAAAAAGCATGGATTTAGGCTATTAGGATTTTTTTTTTTTGCATACATCATCAAAAATATTAAGTCTAATAATCAAGTACAAGTCATTTATTAGATTTTAAAAAGTCATTCAACACTATTAACCATTTGTTCATTAATAAACTAATACATCTAGAAGTTAACTACACATTACTTGAGTGAATTAAATCATATATTATAGGCAGGAACTAATTTGAAAAAATAGTTGGTGTCACAACTTGCACTAAAGGTTTTTCTTGAAGTGAACATTTGAGTCCTGTGCAATTGCTTTTTTTATTGATTTTATCTCATTATCTATCTAACTTCTTCTTTTAATTTAAGATATCAAGTTCAATAATTGTTTGACAGTTACTCAAAATCTTAGATTAAATTTGAACAAATGTCATTCTATTACTCTCTTTATATCTTGTAGCATAAAACTTAATCATTATTGTACAAATAGGTCTCCACTTCCTCATGCAACTCAAATTAAGAACATAGAATTTATTGTTTGTTTTCTTTCTTATTTTAATGGCATATTGATTTCACAACAGTTCACTCAAAGTTTTTGAATTCATAGCATTTAATATCAAGTTCTTCGAAGTACAGTTAAATTTATTGTCTTCATTCACTTCACTTGCTCTTGTTAAGTAAATTCTTGAGTGTAATGTAGTGTGGCTCCCATACCTTGTAAAAAATTAATTGGACTGGAACGTGCACAAAATTGATTAAGATGTTAGATACTATAATTATGATTTAATATAAAATAATGTATTTAATATCAGCCCCAACCAAATGTAAAATATATACTAGCTTTTTAACAGAGTAATTTAAACACTTTTGAATTAATAGCATGTGTCTAATTTAGAGTCTATAACTGTATCATATGAAATCTAATCTAGTAACAAATACCATTTAAGGTGTAGAGTTACAATCTTCCACTACTTACAATACATGCTCTGTTATTCCAATTACATTGTGCCTTAATTAATATCTTAGCTCTCAGTCTGCTTTACTCACTAACTTAGTTTAATTTTAACTATTTTCTAATGTTCTTATCAAACAAATTGTTATATTATTAAATTATGTAATTTCGTTATTTATAGCTGTTATTTTGCATAAAATATACAGATAATAATAACAAAAATAATAGACTTACATAATTATCAAACTTCCTATGTTAACAGCAATGGAATGAGAATCACTTCTTGGAGTATTCTGATGTTTAAGAATATGGTTGATGTCAAGATTAGAACAATGAAATGATCCACACTGTAGACAAATGTATAACTCCTGAAATACAATTAAAATTTTAATAATAAAATATGTTTAAAAAAGTACAATAATTTACTTTACAATTTACATACTTCCAAGTTTTTGTTTTTACATTCAGAACACTGTGCAACAATCTTTTGTAAACATTTGTTTACATTGTTCACATTGACTGCTTTTTTGACATGAGTGCAAGGATGTTTAAGAACTGGAAAAAATATATTAATATTTAAAACTGAGCATGTTAAATGTGAAGACGACCAGTGGAGCTTGTTACAGGACATAGACTCACAGTTTGTTGGTTGACTTTTTAATTCTCCCGAATCTGACGAATCACCAACATTAAGTGGAACAGGAGCATTAGAACTTTGCCGGTTACGTTTCTTATTTTTGCCTTTTGCCATGACTTAGAAGGATGGAAAATGTAGAGCAAAAATACTCAACACTGGACGTCTATTTATAAAAGATTTTATTTTTGGAAAAAACGTGATTAGGCGAAAAATATGGAAACAAGAGATAAGGGGCTCATACCGCAATAAGTAGTCAATGTGCATAATAAAATTTTACAATGACCGTAATAAATTTAATTGATCTCAATCATTAAAATTACGATTACATACCTTCTTTCTTTTATTCTAATCAGGAAACAGTGTATCTGTACGTCGACGTTCAGTGTTTAGATTATTAGTGATGAAGACACTTTCTATTTTATTCTTCTAAAACTATTCTAGCGTTGTTTTTCTTGTTCAGTGGCTTGTTTTATAAGTTACTCTTACGTGTGGTTCCGCTCCATCATTTTTGTACTCTTAATAGAAAAAAATCAAAAAATATTTTTATGATAGTATGTCGTATAACAATCATACACACATTTACTTGATGCTGTCGCAAAAATGTTTAAAGACTTAAACTTGTAACCAGTACTCAAATAAAGTATAAGTGTATAATACACTATATATATATTACAATAAGTAAAATACACAGAATACACTGTAGATTGTAGTATGTTGTAAGTAAACCTAAGGTTTTGAGTGTGTTTGTGTGCGTGAAATACAGAGAAATTTTTTTTTTGCTACAGAGTACAAGACTACAGACTTACAGACTATGGACGTGTAGTAATTGATTAGGGTGGGAGAATCAAACTGGTGAAGTGTAGAAGGGAGTGCATGCAATACATTAGAAATTTGAATACAGCTGATAAGTTTTGTGTGAGGACGACGACGTGGTATGCGCGTTATGTTAGCAGTCGGAGAACGACAGTTGGCCGACCTGCTTATAACAAAGCGTATAGTTTACAAGTGATAACTCTATGGCCTATGCTCTCATTATCTCATACTCTCATCACTCTCATCAGTCTCATCATTCTGCATTCAGATTTCAGACCATTCATTGTATTGCATTCTGCATTTCTGCAATGCACTCCTCAATCTCAAGTCTCAACTCTCAGGGACCTAATCGACTGAGTGACCTAATACCCATTACCCACGGGAATAAACAGTGAACGGGAGCATAGACCGTGATAATGCATGGACCAACCATTAAATATAGTAGGTACTAGGTTATAAAGTCATCTTTCCATATCGTACAGAAAATCTCATAAATACACTATCTGTACTCGTTAAGCATCGGCCATCGGCACGTTTCCCAACATTTCGTGAAAAAAATATCTCAATCATTGAACCAATATAAAATTCATCTTACTATACGAGTATAAATTTATATGTCACTATAAACCACTTTTAATATCACCATCCAGAATTAATTTGTTCAAATTAATGGGTTGTATATTTGTATAATAATAATATTAGTTATAGTTAATATAAAAAAAAAAAACTACTAATGGTAATAAAGATTATAACATACTATATAGAACAGGTATAAATTTTTAGAATATTACCGGAGTCTTGATTCTCGAATTTTGATAGTTTATGACACATTGACACGGGTTCAGTTAATCAGTTGCCAATATTACCATTATTGTGTTCATTTTATATCTTTGGTCAACATACAAAATTTTGCAATGATCGGTGATTAAATAATTATGTCAATACAATATTTTAAATTAAGTATATCATTCGCGTATTTTAAAGGTAGGTATTTAAAATATATCACTGGTGTTATTGGGGCAGATTAAGATTTTAACTTTTTAGGTTTAATTCTTTTCTATCTTTGGTGGCAAAAACATGAGATTGTTCACTTAGAATTTAGAAATCATGGCATCACGATTTTTTATTTTTCACCATGGGCAGATTTATTTTAGATTAATTTTTAGCTTATCCAACTCATAAAACACCAATTTAAATAAATAATTGATATCTTGTCAACCATGATTATATCTATGCAATTATACATTTATATATAAATGTATGACGCTATTATAACAATAACATCTTATTTGTTATAATGTTTGTGAATTACATTCCAAGATTATAATTAATTAATTAAATATAAGAGTAGTATCTCTAGTATCTACATTCTACTATTTAAATTTTAATTAATTTTGTTATGGTATACAGTATGCGCTTAACGGTTCAACTATAATAGTGTAAACATGGAACGTGCCAAGGATTGACAAACTTGTCCTATTATTAAACAAGTAAACAACGCTATATTGATTCAGTTTTCATTATTCTTAATTGTTAAATTATTATAAGTAAAAAAATTATTATTACTAAGAAGTTAATTTTTATTAATATGATTCGAATGAAAACTTATGGAACCATAATGGTAGGCGATAGCCTCCAATAAGGAGATACTTTTTTTAGTGCACTAATTATATACAATACGTGGTTTTATTTACAATTTAGTAGCTCTTATTGTTCTTAATGTGTTCTTTTAAATCTAAAAATTAATTTAATATACTCATATTATTCATGGTGGTTCTATGATACTATGAACTATGAAGTATGATAGTATTTCATATAAGATGTGATAGTATCATATCGAGGCAGTAGTCATTCGTAGCAGTGGTGTAACCCTGTTTTATCAACTAAAAATCAACAAAGTCGCATCCACTGATTCCACTGAACAACGTATAGAATAGATAAAAATTTTTAAAACTTTTCAACTCTTGTCATGCACTCCTACCCACGGTCTTGGAATTCTTAAAACTGTGTTCTTACTACGGGTACAGAACATATCAAATTATTTAAATTTTAATCTATTCTGTGTTCATACTCGCTAGTGGCTACTACTTTCACACTTAACTGGGCACAGCAGCACAAGCGCAAAAACGAAAGACACGTTATCTTAATTTTATGGTGAGAAATATTATCAAAATAATTATTGACGATGTGTTGATTGTATAGACCTATAAACCAATGTTAATAGGTCTATGGTTGATTAAAACAATGAAATATTTTCTGTTTTGAGTTCTCAAATCTCAGTTGACTATTTTAGATACAAATTTGAAATCTGAATATCTCAAGCAGGTTGGTTATTTAATTTAAAATGATTTTACGAAAAATATTTTTGTTTGATATCTACATTTATTTTATTATTAATTTTCACGTGGCTCAATAAACAATAATTTATTATTTGTTTTATTTTAAGATAGTGATACCATAAATTATTTATTGTTTATTATTAATTATTTATTTATATTTGTATTAAATAAAATGTTTAAAAGATGTTAATTAAAAGTTTATTTTGTTTATTTTAACTTCTTTGTTAGAAGTGAAAACTGTATTTGTACTTAAAATAAATTAAAATTAAAAAGTATATTATAAAAAAATGTATAAACTTAAAACAGTTAAAACAAATTAATATTAACTTAATAATTGTATTTTAATTGTTAAACAATATTTTGTTTTAATAGTTTTTATCGAAATTTGTTAAATATGTTTATGTAAACAATTAATTTTGGTTTCAGAACGTTTGTAAAAAAAATAAAATTAATGTTTTTATAATTTTAAATAGGTATCTTAGTAAAAAACAGTAAATTCCATAGGTATTATTATATTTTTAATATGCTTTAACCTAACTTTCCAACTTTATTTATACTTGAACAGGTTATGGAAGTAATATGTCAATGATACAACCTTCAAACACCATGAGTGATAATGATGGATTAATTCCTAGCTGCAGCACCTCAAATCCTATACCAAGCTCTAATATAACTGATTCAAATCCAAATCATAATAAGAGAACTCAAATTTCAAATTGCAACACTAGTAGTTTAAATGATGGTTGTAGTAATCCAGGTCCATCTAATGAAGATGAAGAATTAACTTTACCACGTGCATCAGTCAATAAAATGATTAAAGATGCTTTACCAAATATTCGTGTTGCTAATGAGGTGAGAGAAATGATAATGAACTGTTGCACAGAATTTATACATTTAGTATCATCTGAAGCTAATCAAGTATGTATGGCTCAACAGAAAAAAACCATAAATGCTGAACATTTATTGACAGGTAAGTTTTAAATGATTATTTTTACTTTTATTTTTTTTTTAAAAATAATTATTTTAGCTCTTGACCATTTGGGATTTGGTGATTATCGAGCTGAAGCAGAAGAAGTTGGTAAAGACTGTCAATCAAAAAGAAGAAGACAAAGTACAAGACTTGAAAATTTAGGCATACCAGAGGAAGAATTATTACGACAGCAACAAGAATTGTTTGCTAAGGTTAGTTTTATAGTTTTAATTAGACATCAATTTACTTATTTAAGATTTAAAATATCAATAGGCCAGAGAAGAGCAAATGGCTCAAGAACAACAACAATGGCAAGAACTACAAGCTGCAGCTCAACGAGCTGCTATTAAACCTAAGACTGAAGAAAGCAGTGATGAAGACGATTACTCCTAATTTATAGTTTTACAGAATTGTAGACAATTCACATTCATCATCATTAAGAGTTGAATTTTTTTTCTTAATTTGTTATCATCAGTTTGTACATTTTTACTATATAGTATCTAATTTTTTTGTGTTTTTATTTTAAATTGTTACATTTACTTTTATGTCAAATAAATAAATAATTAGATTCAATTAAAATTATGTATTATAAATTGCATTATTCTTACTATATTTATAATATGTTTATAAATTTATTTAAATGTAGAATTTTTTTTTAACAAAACTTTTAAACAATAAGAATTTAACTTTACGACTGATTGGAACAATTTAGAATTGAAAATAATGTTGTTTAAAACAGTTATTTCATGAAACATATTATACTTTAATATTGTACTCAAAACAATTGAACTTACTCAGACTTAAGAGTGAAGTTTATTTTAATTATGGATTGACTCCTTTTGACTATAATCTTATTCACCAGGTATTATTGATCATTATTATATGACAGTTAAAACACTTAAAAATCATTTTACATTTGATCTATATTATTTTTTCTAGTTCTAATGATTTGCTCTCAATTCTAGCTCTTATTTACTTTAAAATAATAACATCTCATTAAATTATTAATATTTAAATTTTATGCAACTAATTTGAAAAATGAACCGTTATATGATGTGATTGGGTGTAAAAGAGCTGATCCTACTAAATTTTTTTTTACTCCAATGTACCTTATTGTTATTTCTATACATTTTTAAAAATTAGGTATTCATGATTTATCCATTAAGTCAATATATATTGCCCACAAAGTAAGATTTTAAAAATATAGATATTTTCAAAATGTTTTTTAAATATTTTTTCAATGTTCTGAAGGTCACTAAACACTTGGAATAAATTTAATTTAATTAAATAGTAGGAAGTTGGAGACTGCAGTTTAATTCAAAATATGTATCACCCATTTATAAATCAACCTACATATTTTGAAAATGTCATTACGTATAACAAAATTCTATTAATCAAAAATAATATGTTTATGAACTATAATAAAATAATATTCAAAGTTATTCTAATTTTTCCGAGATCATTGCATATTTGCATTTTAAAATCTCATTGTGTGTATAAAATATAATTATATAAGTATGTTAAGAATTTGAAGTAGGTACCCATGAATTATATTTTTAATTACAGCAAAATTAAATTTAATAATGTATAAATTAGAACAAAATTTTTGTAAAATAACTTTATTTATGTATTTTTACCTATAATATGAATAATTTATGAAATACTTTGTATTAATATTTTACTTCTCAACTATAAAAATTTAATATTTTATAAGTTTTATGAACTACAAAAGAATTTGTAAATTTTTGTGTTTTTGTTAAACTATGAACTTTTAATAATTATTTAATAAATATAGTACACATGTATCTTAAATATTTTTAAAAAACTATTACAACAATTTATAAAGTAACTTGCATTAAATTTTTAAGTATTACAATCCAACAAGAAATTTCCCATAACATTTATAGAATCAAATAAAATAAAATTTAAAATGTCTATAAATAACTCGATAAGTTAAAATATTTTGAAAATATTATCACCTATTAATATAAATATTTAGTGAAAATTTTAACTATCCAGTATCTACGGTTATTCATTTTAGAGTAGCACAGAAGAAACAAATTAATTTTTATCGATAAATTCATTGATACCAGTTATTGAATAATTCTAAGGATTTTTTAATTTTATCTTTCCAAAGTACAATATACAAACTAAATCCAATTTGCATTCCAAAACCACCTTTAAAGTTGAAAATCGACTACTTATCGTATAAAACAATACACACATAACGATGAGAGTTTCAAAATAAATAGATTAATTTTCAACTTTTGCCTATTTATACCAAAAATTCTTATTGACATTATTATACCGTAAATCAATACCTACCTATCCTATTAGGTATTTCAAAATTTAATTCAAATGATTTTTATGATATATGACTTTAAAATATATTTTTATACACTGTGAAAGCAATTTTACCATAGTGTAGAATTAATGAATTCTGTGACCTTACCTCGCAGCATACAAGTAAAATATGGAAGTAATATTATACTTGTAATATTTAATATTCGGACATTTGGTATATTATATTATAGTCGATGTATATAGTTGATTATCGTATTTGTTGAACAACCCCATGCGAAATCGTGCTAAATGTAATGTACTCTCGAAAAACCAATATTTTCGTAGTAACTATCTGATATACAATTTCAGAGTATTTTTATATCGTTAAGTTACCATTTGTAGTAAATTTTGCACCCCTAATATATTTGTGAAAAAAATTTTACCCTGATAATTGACAATTTTCTTATCACTCGAGTTATATTATTTGCATAGATATAGGTGTATTAATATATTATATATATTTTTAATTTATTAAATAAAATAAAATAATATTTTAATAATCGAATGATTAGTTATTGAAACATTTTCATAATCCAGAGAATCTCTCGAAAAATCACTCGAAATTAAAATCGTTTTTTTTTCGTATGAAAGAATAATCAGTTATTATTGCTTAATGCTTATCGAGAGAATCTAAAAATTACTTGAAAAATGAATAAATTTATAGTAAATAATTATTAGTTAAATTTTGCTTTTTTTATTTGTTGATATAATAATAACCAGGATATATTAATTATGCATTATTAATAGGTGCTTTAAATAAAAAACAAGTTTTTATTTTTTTTTTATTTAATAATTATTATCTAAATTTTAAATTAATCTGTTGGTCTAAGATACTGTAAATTCTTGATTATGAAAAAAACTACCTATTATTCATTTTTATATATTTGAAATGGTATCTTAAAAATGTATTACAAATGTGTATAGCTACCAAATCTAGCAAATGTTAATAATGCATTATAAGTTTTAAATAAAATTATTAAATAATAGTAATCTAATAATTTACTTAATAGTAGCTCGTAATATTAAGTATATAAATAATTAATATTTAATGAACAAAACCAAACAAAATATAAAAATGTAAAAATAAACAAAAAGTTTTAAAACAAATTCAAATTACTATTTAAAAATACAACAAAATCTAAATTTTTTGGGGTTAGCCTATTTCTATATGTATACCATTTTTCAGAATAAAAATATACTACATCAATTACTAGATATTAAATAATAATTTAAAACATTTCCAAATTCGATTACTTATAATAAAACTTATTCGATCACTCGATTATTTTTTATTTTACTCATAATCGAAATTATTCGATTATTTGATTACTTTTATCATAATCGAAATATCTCGATTGTTTTCATAATTGAGATATCTCGATTCTCGATTATATATCTCGATAGTCGGTTATGACCATTGCCAATCACTTTTCTTGTATGGATATGAGAGGATCTCAAATCTTCATGGTTGTAGTTGTTACTTGTTACTTATTTGTAATTACTAATTATTGTGATAATTAATTTTTATTGTTTTTAAATGTCTGTACTGTTTGAAGTGCTTGTAGTTTTGTACAGTTGTACTGAACCATTGAATATTGGAAGCATTTCAATGGTTTGTTTTTAAAAACTATCAAATTATTAAATTAAATTTTAATTTAACTACAACCATGATACATTTATTTAGTGTCACATAATAATATCATAGTTATATTTTATTTCGGTATGAAAGAGAAAACGATTTTGGTTAAACAAAACCCAATATTGAAAGTAGTCATTTTGGGAAATAGTAATGTTGGAAAATCATGTCTTATGAACAGATTTGTAAGTAACAGTTTTAGTGACCATACACTTCATACATTGGGTGTAGAATTTCTTCAAAAGGACCTCGATGTTAATGGAATTGTATATACTCTGCAGGTATAATTTAAATAAATTTTTTGTTAAAACATTTACAATATTTTTAACTTTTAAATATATTTAGATTTGGGATACTGCAGGACAAGAAAGATTTCGAACATTACGAACCCCTTTTTATAGAGGAACTGATATTTGTTTACTGACATTTGCTGTGGACGATATCCAAAGCTTTAAAACAGTAGATTCGTGGAAAAAGGAATTCTTACAGTATTCCAGGACAACTGATGTGAATTTTCCTTTTATTGTTGTTGCTACAAAGGTTAGTTATAAAAGAAAAATATTATTGTTTTTAATAATAAAAATAACATAATCTATAATAATTTTTTTAGGTAGACCTACAAGACCGAGTAATTTCTAAAGATGAAGCAGACAAATGGTGTTCAGAATATCTGAGTGCTCCTTATGTTGAAACTAGTTCTAAAACAGATATGAATATAGAGACTGCATTTACTTTAGCTGTTGAAGTTTGGGCTTCAACAGAAAGGCCTTCCGAATTAAAAATATCACATACAAATTTAGTTAAATTATCTAGGCCAATTAATGGTAGTGCTGCTTGTCCTACAGCTGAAATTGTGTCACCTAAGTGTTGTTAAAAACGTATGATGTATTAACTTAGTGTATTTCAGCATACAATTTTTTTTATAAGTATATAATGATTAGCAATATATATTACATATTATTTATTTTTCATAAAGTTAATTTTTGAGGTAAAATAAAAATAAAGATTTAAGAATATCAATATAATATCAATATTCATCCTATTATTTTGTGGACATTTTAGTGATAACAAATTTGTTTTATGTTTTATTTTATATTATTGTTATTTTATACAATAGGCAAATTAACTTTAATTCTATTATTAAATAGTACTTAGAATTATTGTATATTAATACTTTTTATTAAATTAATTAATAATTGTTGACTTATAAATATTATTATTGAGCAATACATATACTTTATTATGTTTTAAGTATTGAAAAATGAATGTGAATTTATATTGATTCTAAATCATAGATTATGAATATGATATTAAAAACTCAATTGTACATTAATACAAATGGCAAAGTTTAAAGGCCTTGTGTTAAGTATAATTAATAAATTTTAAAAAAAAATTATCATGTAAGGCATTCCACTAATTTATTTTTATAAACTTTTGACTGAAAAAAATTTTAAATTATAATATATTAAAATATTTTAAGCTGTTTTCCAAGGATTGGTATATCTGGCAAGTACATTTATATCCAAATGGGTGAGTAATTTGTATAACTACTCTTACTGGTTTATTATATTAGTATATTGGATGTTCCTTTGACTTGTATCACATTTTCTGTCTATCATCGAGAAGAGTACCAGTTTTAAGAGTAGTAGTAGCGTACGTACAAGTAACCACCAGTATCAAATATTGGCCAAGTAAATCAGTCATGGAAATGCGGCTATAAATAATTATTAATGTACAGAATTGTATTACTTTTTAAATATTCAAAGTTACTCTATTTTTAATATTATATAAATATTTTTTTATATTTTAAAAATGTTGTTTTAGATAAATATTAATTATACTAAAAAAACAACTAATATTTTATTAATTTAAAAAAATGTATTTTTACTAAAGTGTTTTTGAGGAATTCTGCTATTTTTTTTTTTGTTTTATGCAATATTTATTATGATTTATTGTAAGAAAATTTTTATTTACTGAAGTTTTAATAATTTTACTATACAAGAATATAATTCATTTAATATGTATCATTGTAATTATTGTAATTTACTAAACGCAAATGATCTATTAAGATTTATATTTAATTTAGCATTTACTATGATTTAAGACATTTTTTATTAAAAAATTATGGTATTTTAACTGTTTTCCAAAAAAAAAAGAATCAGATTATATGAATAGGTCAATTAATTTTGTCATGTATTTTTAAATTATTATAAATAATTTTTTTTTTAAATATGTAAGATGAAATAAAGGGTGATATTATTAGAGGAAAAAGCATTAATAGGTTGAAATACTCATTATCGTAATATTCTACTTTGGAATATTAAATTAAAAATGTATGCTGTATATCATAGAAAAGAGTAAAAACTGAGAAAAAATAGATAAACTAAATTTGTAGTTATTTCTTATGACTTATTCATCAATTAAATGTCAGATAGGTTTTTGATATCTAACTATTTTATTGAAAAATGTATTTATATCTATAATGTAGACTGTAGATTGTGTTATACACTAATAATTATTAGTTATTTTATTAAAAATGCATTTATTATAAATTATAGATACTAACAAAAAATATTATTATTTTGAATTGAAATTCAGTTTAAATTTAATTAATAGTAAATTATGATGCTACTGCAAGCAGAACCTGTTGACTACTATTGAGTTATATACATTTAATTCATTTAATTTGATTTAAAGTTTTTAACAATACATCATATATGGTTTTAATACAATATTTAGAACTACTAAATGTAAACTCAAATGAGTTGTACATGTACTTACACATTTTACTACACGAGAGTGGAAGTGTTTAATTATTAAATTTGACCTAACTGTGGTGAACGGAGCCCCTATATTATATTTATATTATATTATTACTTTAACTGGCTATCGAATTTGACGACATTAACAATATAACTATTAGACATAATATGTCTATTGGATAACAGTATAACACGTAGTTTTATTTTAGCCTAGTTTTACTGTTAACAAATAATTTACTATTTGGTTAGATAAGTATTTAATTAACATAGTATTTGTGTAATTTGCGAATAAAACGTACTCTATACTATGGTTACGGTAGGTACCTACTTAATATATTATTTTTAATTATGGAAAAAATTGTGTGATTTTTTTCCATTCTATCCGTAAAGGCATATTTTTTTCATCAATCACATTTGTAATTGTATCAAATCACTTTTACGTATTTATAATTGGAAAATGTGTCTTTATTGTTTTTAATTAAATAATTGACAATAGGCATACTGCTGTAAGGTTCGCTGCTGTAAATTGGGCGTTATTTCACCGCGTAGAAGTGTTTGATGTAATGATTTCGCCACATCAGAAAATTAGTAAGTTTTTCAAATTTGTATAACAAATTTTAAAAAAAGACGAAATATTATTACGGTATATTTTTATTTTCCCGGTTACCTTGAATTTATAACTATTTAAAGTTGGTCGTTTTTTGTAATTTTTTCACTTAAGAATATTTAAGATACCGAGTATAATATTTTGTGCGTGATGCTCTAAATTAGCTAATAATTACGTAAAAATTCAAGCTACAATTTTTCATTTTTGAATTACAATTTACGATATAATTCTTAGATCTTAGGTACATTATTTCCACTACATTTTGTCGAGATTCCAGTTTTACACAAGTATAATATTTCTTGCTTTACTAAATATTTCACTAATTGACACTTATCGTTCTTATTTATATTTTCAGGCATGTTGTACCATTTGTACCAAAAGATTTTATGAGATGACGTATTCTTTGAACTACGAATGCAGCAACAATTAATTTCATTTTACCATGACCATTTGTTTTTTGAAATTTTAGATTCCCGTTTTAATCGTGGTTTATCTATCAGGGATTAGTTATTTATCTATTTATATGATTTTACATAAAATAATTATTACAATATTATTATATATTACCATTGATTATAAATATAATTTATATAATAAATTAATAATAATTAATATATTAATATATTAATTTAATAATATATATTACACATAACATGTGTATGACAAAAAAATAAATGATTTTGAATGTACGAATCTGCTTAAAATGTTTAAATTTAACATTAATTTTAAATACTAGTATTTAAAATCAATGATTCTAGTGATTCTACCTACACAATATTCATATTTCGTATACTAAGTAATAAAAATAAAATATCCAAGTGGCAAGTATATTCATAAATTCAGAATATACTTGTATTTTCTGGTAAATTATAATAATTGTAAAATACTAAAATCCCAACAATAGCTTTATGATAATGATGCGACACGTAACTCTCAAGATGTAAGTGACGCAATTGTAGTTTTTGAACTACTGGTTTTTGGAGGCGGAAAGTGGCGGTACACGTATAAAACCGCACTTTTTATGACTTATATGAGTTACGGGCGAAGATAACAAGATAATAAATTGTCTAAATTTTTCCCCTTAAGAGGACGCCGCACCCGCATGTGTTATCACTGTATTATATACAACATGGCAAAATTTCGTTCAGCAGAATCCATTTAATGTTGTTAGCTTTAACATTAGAGTAAATTTACCTTTTATCAAACTTAAATGTAAGAATTTTATCTAGGCAATGACATAGGGTTTTATTGATATTTTAATTTAAAGCTGAGTTATAGCCATATAAGATATTGAAACTTTAAAATGCTCATAACTCACTTTAAAATTATATTAACAAAAGCCTATGTCATAGCCTAGATAAAATTCTTACATTTAAGTTTGATAATAGGTAAATTTACTCTAATGTTAAAGTTAACAACATTAAATGGATTCTGCTGAACGAAAATTTGCCATGTTGTATGTATGTAAGACAAAGACAACACATGCGAGTGCGGCGTCCTCTTAAATATTAGACGCAAAGAGCCGTCTTAAAACCATAGCTGATGCATCAAAATATTTAAAATCATCTTTAAAAAATTAAGCTTATCCGAGAATATGATGTTCAAAATATGTGTGCGGCGTTTAAAAAAAACATGTTTTATTGCGCATGCGTATGTGATATATTTTCAATGTATCTGTTAATGTGTAATTATCCTTTTATTAGTTGTATTTATATCACACTAGCTTGAAAAAAAATTCAATTTATTTCCATATAATTCGGCCGAGAAATTCAGAGTTCTTTAAATTGGTAAACACATGGTATTAATTGTTATTTGTTATCAGAATTCATTTTATACAAACAATATGTGGATAAATATACGAGATTGCATTTCGCAAACCCTTTGCTAATTTAACATTTTTTTATACTGATGGAATATACTGTGGCCATGTGGTGTGCTTCTATCCATTAAATAAATATTAAATGTATTATATGGTCTAACACAACGTGATATAAATTGTGAATATATGCAATTGTGACAAGTTAATTTAGTTCAAATATTTAGATTTAAACAGTTGTTCTATCCATTGTTTAATATCGAACATTTTAATTAACAATTTCCCTAATAGCTATACTCATTAAGTCACAAAACTTTTAACGTATTTTTATTCCTACACTTGAAAGCTCATCGGTAGAGGAAACATTTCTAATAATTATTTTCCAAAAAATTAGCTACCTTCTGATATTTAGTTTTTCGTAATATTTGCTTATATTAAACAATGAACTAATGTATCAATATTATTAACTTTTTTTCAAAATTATATTCAATTTTTTATTATTTAAAAAAAAAAATATTAAAAACTAAAAATTATGATCAGCAATCACATTACAGCACGTTTTATTATTGATAAGAAGGAATGATATTCTTTTTAATGCCTATAAAATATTCAATATATATCTTATTTAAGTTGCTAAATTTAATTTTAATTCTTAAAAATATTTATATAATATTATCTTATATTATATTATATTGATTGTTGTATAAATATCAATTATAAATTAAAAATTTGAATGAATTAAAAACGTTTAAATTATGTTTATGTTTTATTTTATGGTTTGGTTTTATTTATACTATTCTACATATCTAAATACATCCATAAA